TAGTTGACCGGTCAATCTTGAGAGTTTTGGAAGGGAGACTTAAATCGTCAGCAAAACGACATATCGTCGGCCAAAATATGACCGGTATACTTCACAAAAAGTATACCGGTCAAACTACGCTGTCGTCCTATTTATTCCAGACTTCGATAAATTCATCCCTCGGAGATTACCCGGTGTAGTTTCTGGGGTTGGAAAGTGTCGGCAGGAGAGGATCTGCGAGGATTTGGCGTGTAGCGACCCGTGTCAGTAGAGGACAACTGGAGATGCTGAAGAATCCATCCAAGGCACTACTTGACAAAGGGAATGATCCCCTTCACAAGGCGACAAGGCAGCTTGAGGACGAAACCAGTCACCTCGCACCACATCGGCAGCATGCCCCCACGTGGGCGCACGTGGTCCTGTCCCCTTAGCCTAGTATAAATACTCATGTAAACCTCAGAAAGAGGGATCCGAATTCACTCTCTCTAAATTCCCTTGTAAAAGCACCAGTGCATTCTCCGTTATAATATAAAGTGGGCTACAGGTGTTCCACCTAAAGTCCTACCGGTCAATCTGCGTGTTTTTACCTTTCTTACTTTGCCAAATCAAGCAAACTATTCTAGACCCGGTCTAGTATAGTTTGACCGGTCAAGTAATTTACACCATCACATTGCATGCAAACAAAGCTTTCGTCTTTGATCTTGAAGTCTCATTTGAGCAAGTCCTCAATGAATTTCTCACTGTTGTTGGAGTAGAAGGTTTTAATTCCATCAAGAAAATTTGGGGGAAATATCCCAAATACAAGGATCGAGTATATGCTGCCTCACACCCTTTCCCAATTTCTGAAGAGCGGACTTGGAGGTGCTTTATTCAAAAGGCCACCAATCGATGTGATGAGCTTGAGGTGTACTTAGAGCCACACCGAGTTCAAGAGGACCTTCACGAGGATGACATGGAGGAGCAAGCGGGGCCGTCTAACACCGCACTAGGTGTGGACGACGAAAACGACCCTGATGATCCCACTTACATTGGTAATTCTGACGATGAACGTAGTTCTTTGGATGAGTCAGAAGTATCTGGATGGGTCTCTATATGCACTCCCGATGTGTATATAGAAAGCCTACGATCGTTCGTAATTTGGTCGAGATTTGTAGTGATAATTTTAATCTACACTAATTAAAAAATACATAATTTAAAAAAACTAAATTTTTTTTAAAAAATGGTAAGTTTTTGTTAATTAATAGAGTCAAAGAGTAGATCGAGTTTCTTTTCATCATGTCAGTCCGGCCCCAACTCCCAATATGTCAGTAAGAGTTTCATTAATAAATTATCTATTATTACAAAAAAAACAAATGAAAAAAACATAATTTTAATCTACACTAATTAAAAAAATAATTCGTAAATAATTTAAAAAACTGATAATATTATTTCACTAAAATATACTCCCTCCGTCCCTAAATAGATTACAACTTTTTTTCTTTCCCTTCTCGATAACTTTTGTTTGTTTACGCAATTTCATTAATTATTTGATAAAATAAAATATTCTTGTCACCTCTTGTTTTGTAGAACTTTTGACGTAGTTTTTTAATATGTAATTTTTATATCTTGTTGATAGACCAATTTGTAAATAAAATAATTTCAAAAAGTAGAAAATTTCACTTTGTAACTCGTAATTTGTAATCAAATTGGGGAGGGAGGTATTGAAGAATACAGTAAGTTTTTGTTAATTAATTTGGTGAAAATAAAAAAAAAGGAGAGTACACAGTAGGGTAGGAACACCTTTTTAGCACTGGGGCATGTCAGAATTGAATGAAATTCCCATTTCTTCACTAATTGGGAAATGCCCCCTCCACTTAATTATAAAGAACTTTCTTTATCTCTACTTAATCATTGAATTGAATAAAAATATATACAAATGTTATATTGTAATTAAATTAATTAATAACACCATCAAATGATTTTCTTTTATACGGAGTAGTTTTTTCTTAGAAACTTTACATTTGTTGTACTCCATCCGTCCCAAAAAGATCTTTCTGTTTCATTTTTTGCGCGTCTCATAAAACACTTCTATCCCGTCTCAAATGTAAAAAAAACTTTCAAAACAACTTCTACTTACAATAAATGAGAAATATAGTAAATTTTAGGCATTTTAGATGTGTATAGAAGTGTTTTATAGGATTCGCAAAAAATGAAACAAGAAGATCTTTTTGGGACGGAGGGAGTATTATTTTATACGGAGTATCACATTATTTAAAAACTACCCTTTTCAAATATAATTATACTCCCTCCGTCCCGAAAAGTCTTTCTCCTTTAGTTTTTTTTTGTCCCAAAAAGTGTTTCACTTTTCACATTTTTGGACCCTAATACCCTTTACCCTAATTAAAGCTACCCAACCCACCCAAACCCCTCCACCTACCTTATCCATCAATTCACTCTACCTCACCCACTCATTTTCTCATCTCCGTCTCCTTTCTCTCTGCCTATTCCACTTCCCCATTGCTGGCACCCTTCTCTCTTCAGATTTCCCTTATCTTTTTCTTTGATTGATCTAAATTTTTTTATGGGGATTCCTGATCCTACGATGTCAAGCTTCAAGCTATTATCTGATAGTGATGAGGAGAGATTGGCTCTTACGCCTGTCCCAACTACTTCGAAGCCTTTAATCTCTGATTATGACTCTGGGGACACTGCATCTGGAACCGATGATACAGATCCAACATGGTGGTACCGGAAAAAATATCTAGGGGGTGACTTTTTTCCTTCAGAAGAAGAAGAAGGTTGTGTCAAAAATGGGGAAGAGGATGAAGATGATGGATCTGTTACCTCAGAACAGATCCTGGCGATGTCTGATACAGAAATTGTTTTCGAAGAGCCATATGGAGATGAGGCAAAGGCACTTCGCTACAGGAAGAGTAATTTCGCTATTTTCTTTAATTTTACTCTCTGTTTTCTGCATGCCCTAATTTTTTTCTGAAGTGGCAAACTTATGATGCAAACTTCTTACTGATTTGGCAAAGTTGTAATGTCACCCCGTATAGGTTGGAGACTTACATTACTAAATACTTTTATCCATTTGGTCAACCCTTTGTCTGGTTTGTGCCAAAAATGTTGTGGTGAGAGTCTGATTGTGTGCTTTATTCATTCTTCTGTGCCAGTGATTCAAATCTGCACTGGAAATTGCTTTTTAATTTCTTATTGATTTGTTCTGATAAGAACTAAAAATGATTATCAAATTTATTCTTATAAGAACAGCTGCTACATTACATCCAACTAATAAATACAGATGCTACATTACACCCAAGTGATAAATACAGATGCTACATTACTAATAATTATACAGGCTACACTTGCATTACAAAAACCCAAAACCCCAAAAAAGCAAGTAGAACTCCAACTGAGTCAGATACACCATTTTTCATCAATATGGATATGGTCATAAAAATCATGAAATGTTGGGTTCGTGGGGATTGATAGGGGAGAAATATGCTCTAGACAGAATTTAAGCCTTTTCAACTTACCTGGTTCACACAGTAATGGCTTTATGGCATTTGAATGCCTCCTAATCTGCTTTAACTGAAGCCGGATTTTGATACCCCCATTCCATAGCCTAATGCACGCATGTTTTTGCGCCTGTTGAAAGGTAGAGCCACTACAAGAAAATTAGTCTTTAGCCACACTTAATTAACCACACATATCTAAGTGTGGAAAATAATTTAACTATCCGCAACACATTTGTGAATCTCCACTTTTATAAATGTTGTACTCCCTCCGTCCCTAAATAGATTACAATCTTTTTTTTCTTTCTCCTCTCGATAACTTTTGTTTGTTTACGCGATTTCATCAAGTATTTGATAAAATAAAATATTCTTGTCACCTCTTGTTTTGTAGAACTTTTGACATAGTTTTTTAATATGTAATTTTTATAGCTTATTAATATACCAATTTGTAAATAAAATGATTTCAAAAAGTCAAAAATTTTACTCCGTAACCCGCAATTTGTAATCAAATTGGGGACGGAGGGAGTATTTATTTTAGGTACCCATTACCCACATACTCCGTAATATTACTCCATAATAAAGTATTCCTTAAAAACATACTCCGTCTACAGTCTACTGCCTTCGTTTTTTGTTTTTGACACATCAAAAAAATCCAATTTACTTCTAAATTTCCAATTCCAATTAAACCTAGAATAGATCTCAGCTTTCGGAATAGATCTCAACCTGGATTCAGCGCATCTCGTTCACTTGCCATCCCTGGATCAGTGCGATTCGTTTTTTTAGCCTGAATTCACCGCATCTCGTTTGCTTGCCCAGAGTTCAAGGCATCTCATTCGTTCACCATGAGTTCAACGCCTCGCGTTCATCCGGCCTTAGTAATTTCTCCGATCCTTACTGCGAATTATTATCTTCCTCTTATTTGTCGCCCAATTGAGATATATACTTCCCTTTTACTTTTAGACCATTTGATTGTTCGCATAATTTGGATGTGGTGTGTATTTCTATGAATTTATTGATTTTTTTATTTCGAAAGTAGTTAATTCTCGCTATGAAATTTGGTACTCCGATCCGTACTTCTATGTTTTTCTAGCGAGTGGTGTCCCCTAACCCGATGGCTTCTCGCAGTAACTGTCATCCGTAGAATAATGAGGGAGCCTGGAACAAAAGCAGATTCAAGGGTCTTCTTCCTTTAAAGATGCATCGTATTACAGGTCATTCAACACCTCGACGTCAAAACCATGGAAAAGGAGGGATACAGATTAGATATAACCGAAGGACAAAGATAAGGGATGGAAATATCTTGCCATTGAAGGTCAGATTTTCTGCTTCACGTCTTCAATATGTAATTGGAATTTTACAATTTGTGAAATAATATTCAATTAGAAATCAGCTATTGTGTTTGGACTTGAAAGGGGACTATGGAATCTGGATATTATTAACCCTCCCTTATGGTTTTCTTGTGATTTAAAACTCACAGAACATTCCAAATTACTTTATTGGAGGTTTGTTTTTTCAATTTCCAGCTTCTTAAAGAATTTTTGGCCATTATCTTACTCAATTAGAAATATGTGTATCTAGTAGGTTCATCTAAATGGATCTTCTCAGACAGGACAATTTTATATATATTAGAAATTTTAATTTGTAATTGACTTGAGGATTTAGTGTTAAGCTAATAGGCCAAATTGTGTTTCAATTTGTTACAACTTATCTTAGTTTTTTCTGTTTGTGTGGAGATGTACATTCTGGGTCTTGCAGTTTGCTGTCTCAGATTTGGTTTTTTTGTTTTGAAAATGGCATTTGTTTCCATTTTCATACTGCGTTCGCTTCCAGTATCTATTTTTTGGCAGATTTTAGTGTTGTTTAGCATTGTGCTTGATTCTTTTTCAAGCTTCTAGTTTGATCTAGATTAGGAATGAGTACTCTGTTTGGCCACTGCTGGTTTTTGGCTTTGGCTTTAAAGTATTGTTTCCTAATGTGAAACACTTTGATTGCTCAGTTAAATGATGGTTGTCCATTATTGCAGCCTTTGATTTGGTTTTTTATAGTACATCTAGGGATGTCCAGTAATTCTTCACTTTGGTGGCCTATAACTTGAAATTTGTTGGTGCTTGTGTTGATATTTTCTTGTTGTGCTTGCTCCCCTCTTTGTTGTGGGTATTTAAAGCTTGGGTCTAGTTCTTTTGTGTTGTGATTATGGGACATAATAATAAGGATAGGATTAGAAAAAAACAGAACCAAAACATCACTGGTTGAAATACTCTTGTTGAATCTCTAATGTATTTTTATTTGTAGGTTGACTAAATAGAAAATTACAAGCAACCTTTTGGGAGTGAACCAGGAAGGTCGGGGATCGGAAGTGGTGAAGAGGGGTTGAAGCTATAGCCATTTCTGACCAATACAACCCTCAACAAAGCTAAGCTTCTTGTTAAATTTTAGAGACAGGTTTTGGCATGTGACTCATCAACAAGCTTTGCTTCAGTTAATGGTTTTCAAGACTTGTGATATGGTATTCTTTTGGTATTCTTGTGATAGAAAGGTTAACTTCTACTTGTGATATGGTATTCTTTTTTTAAGAAAGTCGTGATATGTTATTCAATTTGGCATAAAGAGAATCAATTTTAATCTTCAGGAGCAGATTAAGCATGCTCACAAGGAGTTCAATTACCAGAGTACCAGTGTCGCTGCTCTTTTCTAGAGGTAGGTGTCTTCTTATTATCAATTTCATAAAAAAAATACGGAGTATGTGTAATTTTTATCAATTTGATGAGATGATCCAGAAGTACCAATTATTTGTATAAAGATTTGACATTGTTTTACTATTTGAGCTATTTTCTTAGCCTATTAGCTCAATGGTAGAGCGTCGTGTGCAAATTAAAGTACATGAAGGCGTGGGTTCGAGTCCCACATAGGTTTTTTTATGAATTTTAAATATTAAAAAATGATGGTATTTTGTATGTGTGGTGTTTTAAAAACATATATAAATGTGGCAAAATAAAACATTAGCCACACATATAAGTGTGGCCTATGTATTTATTAGCCGCACTTATTACAAGTGTGGCGAAATTTTCCCCACAGTATCACCTGCCACACTTACCTCATGTGCGGCAAATAGTCTCCACCCCACTTATATGTGCGGCGAACAACAATTTTAAGTGTGGCGAAATACCAATTCTCTTGTAGTGAGCTGCCATTTTTCAAAGTCCACTGCCATCTTTTTTCTGCCACAGTTTCCTTTCCACTTACACTCTACAACAATGGGTTGATCTTCTTGGATTTGAGCTTGAACTGCCTGCCAAATGCTGCTTACAGTTCTACTTGTAATGCTGAATTCTTCAGCCAATTTTTTTATGGTACCATGCTGAAGTTTGCCATTCCGATAATGTTGTAGCAACTGATCCACAATTCTTTTCCTTCTTTGATTTAATAAAGCACCTTTACTTTCGGATTGTGTTTCTGTGTCTGTTTCAGGGGTGAAAAGATTGGATAAAGGGACTTCAATAACTTGGGGAAGATGGTCAAAGGAAGAAGAATCATCTTCGGAACAAGTCAACGAAGGAGACGGAGAGTACAACGGGGACTCGAATGGAGAATTCATTGGAGAAGGAAGGAAAAAGAACAGAGGAGGAATGCATTGAATGCAGTCACTGCATTCATTTAAGTAGAGAAAGTGTACTATTTTTGGAGGGATGTCCCTGGAGGGAATTTTAAAATTCTCCAAAAATAGCCAAATATTTTAAAAACATGTTTTGGTGTGTATTTGAATGGATTCTGTGGCTGGTGTTGTGTGGCTGTGTTGTACTTTTGCCTAACCCCCATCATTACCCTCGTGTGTGTTGGGAGGGAATGAGTTGTTTACACTATTTGCTTTTGTATTTTTTATGGGCAAGTACATTCTACATTAAATGCAATTTATTTTACACTATTTTCTTCTCTTTATTAGATTAGGGTTGGGGGGTAAATTTGTCAAGTCAATGACAAAAATTTAGCCCCTTAAATTGGTTGAAAGTCAAAACAGGAAAAGGAAAAAGGGACGGAGGGAGTATTAATGAATAAAAATCAAGCCATTCTTTTTTCACAACTTTATACCTAAACTACCATTTTTAAAATTACTACTCTTCCTTTTTATATATTGATCACAGTAAAAGTTGCTTTCCTTTTAGAAATATTTGTACCAAATATCACTAAAACTTAAGTTATTTCTCGATCTAAATAGTACATAAACTGTTTTATTTTCTAAATAGAATTTAATAATGTCCAGTATTGGCGAACATTTACTTGAATAATGACTAAAACTGTTACATTGTGAAAAAAACACGTATGATGCTATTTAGAGAAAATCATTATATTTTAGCGTTATTTAAGTAAATTACTCTTACTTTTATTCATTCCACGTACTTAAACTCCATTATTTTTTCTTTAATTTTTTAAATATTTTATGGGATAGAGGAAAATTTTTTGTATGATCTTATTATTTCAGATTCTACCCAAAAAAAATTATTGAGAACTCCAGGAACGCACATACAGCCGGTGTGAAAAGAGCATGAAATTTCAAACAAAAGACTTCCAACTTAGCAAATGAAATTGGACACACTATACGACTCACTTTGGGTTGGGAGGGGATTATCGTCGATGACAATCAACAAGTAGATCAGAGGGAGGGCCGGGGTATGTGCGCATTATTGTTGCGTGTTTCCTATATATACATTTAATGTTCTAAAAAGAATTCTTAATTTGAACAAGTGCAAAAATAAAGAAATTTTAAATTTTAGTTGACTTCCAATTTTTTTCGTAATGTGGTGCGTAAAAAGTGAAAGTATTTTGTTAAATGTGGAAAAAATAAAAGAGTAAATGTTTTTGAGAACGTAGGGAGCACTTCCACCTCCATTATTTGGCACCCTTGCATTCCTGGTGTATTATTATTCTTTTTGTTTAAATATTTCCTTTAAATTTTAAAAATTATACCAATGTGTTATCCATGAAGATCGGTGGAGATATAGATTTGTTTAAAGTCATATACATATCTGTAATATACACTGAACGACTGACTTTATATCGATGTTTCATGTACATGTGCGCTCAATACTTATTTTAGAGTAACTGATTATTCATTTTTGAGTAATAGAAAAAATTATATTTCTAAAATTCAATTATGCTCGAAAATGAGAGTTATGCTACACAAAAATGACTAAATAGTTACTAAAAATTGAATTTTCATGTGGATGTACGAGAAGCATCACATAGATCCGGATGTATGGTATAAACATTCTCATATATCACTCGTGAGTTCTGCATTCAATATGTCTCCACAAGCATTATCTTCTACTCTCTCCGTCCCATTTTATAATCCATGTTTTGATTTACGATGTTTGACTAAAATTATTTTGAAATCATTTTATATGACAAATGCTGTATAGTTAAAAAAATAAAAATTACATATTAAAATAGTACATGAAAAGATTTACAATACTAGTAGGGACAATCGTACTTTATTTTTATCAAATTGCTAACAAAAATAGAGAAGAGAAAGTGAATAAATTTTGACCCCGTGAATAGTGAACATGCATTATAATTTGGGATAGAGGAAGTATATTTTTAACTTCTAGAAACCAAAAAAAATATTTTTCCTTTAGCCATTGGTAACCAAATTAAACTTGAAGTCCGGACATTAGTCAATCAAACTCTTTATTATTATTATTATTGGTAAGATTATTAATTAACAATATGAGTGCAAGACACAATATAAAAATAAAAAAATGTGTTTGCTTTATGTTGAAAATATTGAATCAAACTACGGAGTACATAAAATGGGGGGAGTCTCTGGTGCGCACTAGGATATGGTCTAGCTAAGTATTGTGCTTGGATCACCGTGATTTACCTCCTCTCACATTCCCGTCGGGTCGGGGGTGAGGGGCGCCCGGGGTGAGCGATTTCACCTTTTTGGAGAATGATATGATCATCATCTTTTTAAATTAATTACTCCGTACACACGAAGATTTTTAAAAAGAACATCCAAACAGAGTTTAAGCTAATTGGGCTGGGCCAGTTAGACTTCTACACCGGGGACTTAACATTTTACTTTGAATTCAAGCCCAGCATTGAGTTCAAAACCTACCGTACAAAAACCCCACGCCCCGGTTATTATTTTTCTTACTGACAATTTACCGTTCTTCAGCGTCAAGGGAATTTACTTTCTACCCGGCCTCAGTCTCCAGTCTACCTGCATCTACGAAACAGGTATGAACTATGAATCATATGACCTTAGATGTTTAATTTTTCCTTTTTTTTAAATTAAATTTAATATCGTGAATGAATTTCGTGAACGTTCTTATGTTGATTTATTTGAGTACGTTTTGAATCCAAAATCAATGGGATGAAACTAACTTAAACTAGTGATCAAGTACAAGTATTAGATTGTGATCAACTTTGGAGAGTTTCGACTTGAATGATTGACCTATGCAAACAAAAACTTTGTTTTATACAAGTCTTCCTTGCACAAAGGGTTGCTTTCCCGGGTAGAAATAATAATGATTAATTTACCTAAATAGGAATAAAACATAATGACGTTTTCCATATAGGATTATACGGAGTATGTTTTTATTTCCCAATGTAAGACCATTGGTCATTATCTATTAGTCATTATTCAATTTAATGTCCAGCATCACTTGGGCATTATTCTTCTCACTAGACATTATTAGGTCCTATTTAGGGAATAAAAAAGATTAAGTCTTACATTGGAAAATGACTTATAATAAGTCCTATTCTGTGCAAATTTCTTAATAATAATATATGTTCATTGAATTATTGGGTGCATGGTATGGTCTATATAAGTGAGGCTCTTGGTGATTTTAGTATCATCGGCTCTTTTTGTTTAATTGGATGTACTTAGATCACACAAGAATTGTAATAGACGTTCTCTAACGAGATAAGAGACACAGAGTACATACTCGTTCAACGATATTATAAATTTTATAGCGGGGATCCAATGAGCGACAGCCCCTGGCAGGGTCCAAGGTGTAGAGCCCCTGGTTGGGGTCGTAAATATTAAAAGATTTGGACGTATATATAAACTGCAAATTAACCCTTAAACCATAAAAAGCCTTTCGCGCGAACATTTGTCTCCTTAAGCAAACTTTCGCGTTCTTTTCAGACTTCATCTCCTCGTGCGAATGTTCGCATCTTACGCAAACATTCGTGTCTGATAATCAATTTTTGACTCTATAAATAGATACATGAAGGTATGGTTGAGGTGTCTGATTTTCAGTTCTTGATTAACATTTTATACGATTAAAGTATTTTATATACCCTGAAATAACTTTGATATGAAAGAATTATTCGCGATTCGATATACTCTATCAAATTATTCTTCTCATTCTTTCTTAACGTTGTTTCGCAGCATTCCTCCTCCATTCAAATATCCAACAGAGACTCCTACACAACCATGAATTGAGAATGGAACTAACTAAAGTAGGAAGCTGACTAAAATACAAAAACTACTATAACTAATACTATTATTATTATTATTACTATTATTATTATTATTATTATTATAACACTAGTAGCAAGAGGAAGCTTGAACACTAGTAGACCTGTGCAAACAAGGTTTGGCCCGTTCAGCCCGCCCAGCTTACCCTTTAAAAAGGGCGGGTATGGACAACCTTTAATACCCAAATAGGCGGGCCGGCCCAATCCCGAATTGTATATGGGAGGATCTGAAAGTTACTTTTTGCCCATCTGTCCATATTCATCAAATATGTTTACTTTATTAATAATTACCTAGCCAATATAAATTTTAAAATTTTCTATAATTAATGCATAATAGTTTAATTCACTCACCTCTTTTAAACAAAAATCAATACTCTTTTAATGAATCAGTATGATGAGTTTATTAATTATGCAACAATATCTATATTTTGCTTTCTATATAAATGTGGTGACTGGTTATTTTATTTTAAATATTAAAAAAGAGTTCATTGTTTTTTTTAATTTTTTGTCAAAATTTTTTTTCTTGATGTTTTATCAGGGCCGGGCAACCCGGTGGGCAGCCCGTCCCGCAAAGATGGGTGGGTATGGGTAAAGAATTTAGCCCATCAAATTCGGGTCGGGCCAGGCCCACCCATGTAAATGGGCTAATAATTTATATCAAGCCCAGCCCAGATTCGATCCGGATTCTTATTTGCACAGGTCTAAACACTAGCTGGAAAAACTGAAAACTTTAATAAGAGAGAAGTCTGACGTGCGCCAGTGGCTATTGACGTCGTTGAAGAAGAGAGAAGTCTGACGTGCGCTGGTAGTTGCAGATGTCTTTGAAGAAGAGAGAAGGTTGAAGTGTGCTTTTAGCTACCGACGTCGAAGAAGAATAGAGAAGGTTATTTCGGGGTTTGCCAAAATACTTTAATAGAATAAGGCATTAATCAAGAACAAACCTATGAAATTCGTACATCGACCATACCAACGAGTCTCTATTTATAGGGTCGAAAAACAAAGATCAAACATTAGTGTTCGCGTAAAGCTGCGATCGTTTGCGTGTAGAGATAGACATGAAAGTTCTACAAACATTTTCTTAAGAAGGAAAACATTCTTAAAATCATCCAAAGTTATCATGAGAGAGGAAATTGATTTCTCATGAGCTTTACATACCACAATTAGATCATCAACAAAGTAGAAATTGACAATCCTCATATCTCTACACATACGATGAAAGGCAAATTTATCTCTAAGAATAGTATCCTAGAAACTCCTAGTCAATACTCTATCACCAAAACAAATATTAGAGGGGAAATGGGATCCCCTTGCCTTAGACCCTTAGCCCCTTTGAAGTAGCCATATTGCCCACCATTTACATTGATAACATATGAAGGTGTGGTTATACAGAACATTATCCATATAATGAACAGATCCGGGATATTAAGGTTGAGAAGGATATCTCTAATGGTCTCCGAACTAACTGTATCATATGTTTTTGAGTGGCTATTGACTTGAATATAAATAAAACTAAATCACACATAGTGTTTGGAGGGATTTGTCACCAGAATGAGAGAGAGTTGTTTGAACATACGGGGATGAAGATGGGAAAACTGCCTTTCACCTGTCTTGGTAGTCATATCACAACTGCCAGATTGAAAGCTAAGGACTGTAAAATCTTAATCACCAAACTTACTAACAGAATTATTGCATGGGGATCAAGACACTTCTCTTATAGTGCTAGAGTCAGGATCATAAATTTTGTTTTAATGGGGATTATTTCTTTTTGATCAAGAATCTTTATAGTGCCTCAACAGATTATAAAGAGAGTTACAACAATATGCAAAAAATTTCTTTAGTGGAGCACATATGATTATAAGAGAATACCATTGGTTAAATGGGATGAAGTCTGCCATAAAAAGAAGCATGGTGATTTGGGTATTAAGAATGTCTCTAAATGGAATAAAGCTTCCATTATGAGACTGAACTGGGACGGACATAGGTGAGAAAAAAGATGTATTATGGGTAAAATAGATTCATAGCAAGTACATCAAAGGACCCAATTTCTGTAGTTATACCCCAAGACTAAACTCGTGGCATTACTAGAGGGAGATGGTCAATGTTAGAGAAGGATTCAGAGGCATGCCTATTCATAAAAGAAATAAAATTAGTGAAGGGTATGACTGCCTTCAAGGTGAAGCTCTCAAACCAAAATGGATAGATTTGGTTCGGAACAAGTTCACCCCTCCGAAATTTCAACACATAACACAGCTTCATATGTGAGGAAGACTGCAGAATAAAAAAACATTTATGTCAATAAATACAAGGTGTGTCCTTAGTGATTCTAATGAGGAAATGGACAAACATTTGTTTTGAGATTGTGAGGTTGCAAAAGAGATCTATAAAAGAAGTTTTGCCACATTCAATTTTCAAAACCAGCCTTCAAAGCTGAGAGAGTGGGAGGCAGTATTACAAGGGACTCGAGGGAAGAGGAGGAAAATGATGACTGCAGTTTGGGCAGCTTATGTGTATCACATTTGGAGAGTAAGAAACAAGAAGACGAAGCAAGGGGAATTTACTATGGAAGAAGGAATTAATTTTGTTTACCCTTATATGTATTGTTATTTCATATATATGAGGGTTATGTAATAATGGGAGGTAGATTTTGAAGCTTATTTTGGTTGTATTGCTGGATCATGTTATTGTAATAACCTAAAAGTTGTGTTTTTTGTGCAAAAAGGCAAACATTCACGCGAAGAGTTTTCAGGGCCTTATTTCGACGTTTAATGTGTACGTCCAAACCTTTAATGTTTTGAACTTCCTTCACGAAAATCTGTCCCTTGGACCCCGCAGCTTCGCTATGAATTTGTAATATTGTTTGAACGAGCGTGCACTCCGCACGTCCTAACTTGTTAATTGTTTGACAAACGTATATTCAAATGATTGTTTGATGGAAGTAAGTCAAATAAAACAAAATAGCCCCTTAGTCCGGGTAAACGTTTGAATTGGAGTTGTTTAAAGAAAGGTGAAATCAAGACTTAGGAAGAGTCATAAATTAGGAGGATGTAAAGTAATTATTACGGAGTGAGTGGAGTAGTCCGTGTATGTTTTTCTACAACCAGACAAATCTCCCTATATCACTGGAGTAATTTCTATTCTCTCTTTTCTCAGTTCTTTTTGTTGTCTCTGTATGATCTGCGATCGATCCAGGGTTAATTGTCAGTTGCTGGAAAGTACACACAGAGCTCCTCTTATTGTAATGGTAAAAAGGCCATTATTGTTTGTTGGAGATGAAACCTACCGGTAAACTACATATATTTATATATATATATATATATATTTGATCCGTTTTGGATCGATCTAATTCGAAATTGACTATATTATCAATATGTAATGGCTAAATATGATGACTATTAAATTCAGGTGTTAGAAAAAGAAAAGTGGAGATAATAATTGGTGGTGGAGGAAGAGTGGACGATGTGGGGGAGACACAAAGTCTTTCCGATAGAGAAGTAGGGATCATCGGAGTACCATATCTAATTTTTTATTCCATTCATGCTTTCTATATATATATATATATATATCGTGTGTTTAATTAATGTTTATTTTTTAAAAAAAATTATTGTGAAGATTGCTGGGTACCTGAACACAAAAGAGGAGATACGTTTGAAGAGGATTATATGGGAAAGATTAAATCACCAGTACGCCCACCAGATGGTATCTATCTATCTATCTATCTTAGTCCTACCTATAGCTATCTACATCTTGCTTCTTTTCTTTTCTTTTCTTTTTGCAATGCAAAACACTATAGTCTCACTTTTGAATTTTAAGAAATTTAAGAACAGTGTATTTTGACATTGACTTTTTAAAAATGTCCTTAGATGTGACAAGTAAAAGTAGATGCGCTGGATAGATAAGTAATGAAGAGATATGATGTGATATGTAAGATAAGAATTAGTAAAGGTAAAAATGAATTTTTAATAGAAATCGACATGGAAGGGTGGATTCAAGTCGGGCGGGGTACTGGTAAGATTTATGTTTACTAAGGGATGAGTGGGGTATATGAACCCTGCATCGATTGTTCGAAAAGAAAACTGCATCCATTATACGTACACACAACCTAGTGTACATATAAATTAACCTAATAACCAATCTGTTATTTTTCACTCATTGATTTGACCAATACTATATATGCCTATCGATTATAGTGATGTAGTCAAGCTAGTAGCAATTTTCTTCCAGAAAATGTATTCCATTTGAGCATAGAATTTTGTTTAATACTCCCCCGTTCCAGAAAAAGGGGGGCATATTGAGTAAAGTGGCAAGATAAGAGAGATAGTTTTGTGTTAATTTTTCAAGAATATCCTTGACGTGATGGGTAAAAAGTAAAATGTGATGTACAGATTATTAGAAAAAAGATATGATTTGATATGTAGGGTATGATAAAAGTAAGAGCTAAAAGTCGTTTTCTAATAACAAAGGAAGGAGATTAGGGGACATCATTTTTTTGAAACGTGAAGAAGTTTTTGGGACGGAGGGAGCAATAATATTTCAAGGTATACGCACTTTTTAATCATTTTAATGGGTGCATATATGATTTTATTGCAGGCACAAGCAAAGAAGCTCAAGAAAGAACGTGATGATGCCAAGAAAGCTAAATCTAGAGGGACTTCCAACAATTCTAGTGTAGGGAGTCAGGTAATAATATATTTATATGCACACAACTCTAATAAATTAAAGAAGCTAAGTAGGACGTTTAATAACTGTAATGGCCACGGAAGTCACTGCCCTCCTACGGTGCTCCGTTTATAAAATTGATGGTTTCTACCCCTTAATCTCTCGCCTAGTCTCGACCCTAACTGATTCCCCATCTACGTCAATCGCACCCCTTAAGTATATTTGACTTTAAATTCTAAACTTTTGTCTTCAAAATGAACTAAAATTGCGAGGTACAATTGATGTGGTGGGAAATGAGTTAGGGTCGAGACTCTGCGGGAGGGGGTGGAGTGGAGGTGGGGTTATCGGGGGTTTGACGGGGTAGGAATCATCAATTTTATGAACGGAACACCGTAGATGTCCGTAGGGGGGCAGTGGCTTCCGTAGCCACAGGAATCAGTGGCCATGGAACCGGGCCGTGTGTGTAAGTTTTTGCATTTTGATGGCTAGCTATATGTTATGTTGATGGGTTTAATATGCAGATGCGAAGCACAATGGTAAATTATGATGCACTGAAGCAACTGGACGATGAATTGGTATTGTTTAAACTCTAAATTACTACTCCCTCTGTCCCTAAATAAATTTTCTCTTTCGTTTTTTCTTTGTCCCCAAATAAACTTCTCTTTTCCCTTAAAAATCCCCTTTTACCCTTTACTTTTTCATACCTTACCTATCACATCATACCTTTTTACTAATAATCTACATATCACATCTTACTTTTACACATCACATCAAGGATATTTTTAGAAAGTTAACACAAAAATATCCCTCCCTTAAATCCTCAAAAAGTCGAAAAAGGAAGTTTATTTAGTGACGGAGGGAGTACTAAATACTACACCCATCATATATCAGAATTTCCTCCTTTGTTTTTGCATTTAGTATGATGACGATACTTAAAAAAATCCCTGTTACACCCTTCCCTTTGTAAACTAAATAAGCTTCCAATGCATGGATCGATGCAGAACGACGATAATCTTGGATCCGGAGCGGATATGTTGGGAAACTCGGGATCTCTCCCTCGTAAAAGCCGCGATTCCGATGCGAAAAACCTCGGAGTTCATCATCATGGTGAATGTGATGATGTAGATGAAGAGGAGCAGTCCTTTGATAGGGATGGTGAGCAGCAACATGATGACGACGACGACGACACGTGGAGATACAATAATACTGGTAATAACTATGAGTCATCATACGATTATGATGACGACACATTGGGAGACACTAACAACTATGATGAATATGAAGATGAATATAATGAATGAAGCCGATCATGAAAAAGCTTGATCCAATTCATTTATAATTTATACCGCGGGACTCACTAGCGGGCTACACATTGACTGCTATACAAATTTTCTTTCTTTTTTTACTTTGGTCATTGTATTCATAAATTATCTCACTGTTTGTTGATTTGCAAGAGCTATATTATACTCCCTCCATCCGATCCGTTTGGAAAAAAAATTCCGCTTATCCGTCAAAAACATTTCTACGCCACTTAAAATATCAAAAATACATTCTCATTTCGTAGTTTTTCTGCAGGTAGGAGTTATTTTTTAGGTAATTTTAGACATTTTAGGTGAAGTAGAAGTATTTTATGTGATACGCAAAAGATTAATGCGAAAGTATTTTGTGAAACGTGGTTATGATGCACTGTTACACATCCAGATTGATACTGTCAGTGTTACACACATAATGATTCTATGTGCGTGATTGATTTTATGCATATGGTTAAAAGAAGATTTGTCATCTTATTATACAGATTAATTATACGTTAGTAATTTGGACAATATTAGCATTTTGGGCTTGTGTTGTTTAGCTCATGTATGTACTTTTATATATATATATATATATATATATATATATATATATATATATATATATATATATATATATATAGATTTGTGATCAATGAAAAATTAGAACAGTTTCCATTAAAATTTTTGAGACATCTATTGTCGTGAAATTTACTCTGAAATTTATGCAATGTAGTTTTCTTGTAACTTTTTTTTAATTTGGTCTTGAGGGAATTGATGAATTTGGGTTTTAAGCCCGATCCTACTGGTTAATTAGCTTAGCATTTAGCCAGCTGCTTTAGCTTTACTACGAGGACTCATTATAGTTATAGTGGTCAAACAAGGCGTACAAATAATGTATGCTTCATTATTATTTTATTGAGTTTGTTATACTTGTTCCGTACTATAAAAATATTCTCATTTTGATTTTTATAAAATTTAGAATAGAGATATATTTATATCGATTTTCTAAAAATATTTTTGATATGATTGAAAAAAATAGGATGTGATAGATAACTTATGAAAAATTTGTACTCCGTACTAAATAGGACTAAAACATACTCCCTCCGTCCCACAAAAAAGTTCTCATTTTGAATAGTATTTAGTCAAATATTTATACGCTTTGACTACAAATTGTGAGAAAGATATATTGAATTATGAAATAAATTTTATATAATTGGATTTATTTTAGAATCTAGTTTTGATATCTCAAATTTTTTTAGCATTTCTTTATTTAAATTATATTTAATTTAGGGTCAAAGTGTGCAACGGTTTGACCAATTTATGGTCAAAATGAGAACTTTTTTGTGGGACGGAGGGAGTAATTCATTTCTCAATATAAGACTTAAACTTTTTTATTCTCTAAATAAGACTTAATAGTGTCTAGATAAAGAAATAAAGTCCAGCGATGGAAGACATTTAATTGAATAATGACTCATTAATAATGACCAATGGTTCTATATTGGGAAATAAAAACATATAGTCCTATATAGAGAAAATCATTATATTTTAGTTCTATTTAGGTAAATTACTCATAACTTATTACTAGAAAGATATAATCTGATAGGTAAGATGAGATTTTGTAAAAGTACAAATGGAATATTAATAAAAAAGAAAAAAATTTGTGGGACAAGAAAATAAGGAATTGGAAGAAAAAGAATCTTTGAGGTGGAGGAAGTATTATTTTCGGGTAGGCCTAATATGACATCTATTTACCTTCGGAAGCAAATTAGTTAGGAGCTCTCATAATTTTACAAAATAATTGGTGACAAGGTTATTTTTATTTTATTAAATTTTCAATGAAATATATATATATATAAAGAAAATAATGTTAGTTTGATTTGTGAATAGTAATTAAGAGTATTTTTTTTGGAACCCGAAGTTGATCAACTTGAAATGACCCGCTAAAATGGGTCAAATCCGAACCTGGCATGAATGACCTGCTACTGTAAGAGTCTTTCAAAATCATATACTAGGTTACTACTCCCTCCATTCCATAAAATCATTCCTCTTTTGTTTTTTTCAATTCCATAAAACACTTCCATTTTCTATTAAAAAACCACTTTTACCCCTACTTTTTAATACCTACCTATCACATCATACATTTTCACTAATAACCAAGCTATCGCATCTTACTTTTACCCATCACATCAAAGTCAAAATTGGAAAGTCACCCAAAATTATACTTTCCTTATTTTGGCCCAAAGTCAAAACACGAAGTATTTAAAGTAACGGAGGGAGTATGAAATACTCCGTATAATGCTATAAAAATAAAGTTATAATTATATTTGGTTCTTACTACTTATTTTTAGTGTATAAGTTTATACTTCCAAACAAACATTTAATGATACTGCAAAATTATTTTACTTTTTTCCAAAAAAATGCATTTTTTTTATTCTTTATATACCTAAAAATTACCTCAAAGTTTAAAATAAAATATTAGATTTAATACTCCCTTTGTCCCTGAAAACCTTTTTCCTTTCTTTTTTCATCGGTCTCAAAAAACACTTCTTATTTCTATTAAAAAGTCACTTTAACACTTACTTTTTCATACCCTACTTATCACATCATACCTTTTTACTAATAATCTATCCATCAAATCTTATTTTTACTCATCACATCAAAGAACATTTTTGGAAATTCAATACCAAAATACACTCTCCTTAAATCTATTCAAAATCAAAACATCCCATGTTTAAAGGATGGAGGGAGTACATGTTTTTTATATTTTAATTTTACCTAATGCAAAATACATGTATTAATGTAAATTTAAAAAATTGTAAAACTAAAGTTATAAGCCGTTGGGTTGCCAAAAGTTGATAACACTAGGTAATGAAGATATAATTCTCAACCTGAATTTGAATTGACCCGAACTCGAAGTAACATAAACCCGAAGTGATCGAACCCAAACCCAACCTCATATACTAAGGGGCTGTTTGTTTCAGCCTCTTAATGGTTCAGATGTTTGAATGGTTCAGCACTTAATGGTTCAGATTGTTTGTTTCAGTCTCTTAATGGTTCAGATGTCTGAATGGTTCAGCACTTAATGGTTCAGACTATTTGTTTCAGTCTCTTAATGGTTCAGATGTCTGAATGGTTCAGACATTTGCCTCTGAATGGTTAAGTATTATACATAGTCTGAATGGTTAAGACCTCTTATCTGAATTGATCAGACATTTGCCTCTGAATAGTTAAGCAATATACTAGCTCTTAATGGTTCAGACTTCTTACTGGTTCAGCACTTAATGGTTCAGACCTCTTACTGGTTCAGCACTTACCTATTCAGAAGTTGCCAAACAGCACCTAATTTTCTTACTCTAAATTACTCGTAATAAATATATTATGGTACAAATACATTTTTTATTACTCCCTCCATCCCCCTGTATTTGACCACTTTCATTTTTGCACACCATCCAATGCACTTCTTTAATCTATTTTATCTTGTAATTTGTATATTAAAAAATTATAAAAATTATATATTAATAATCTATATGTTAAGACAAATCAAACAAGATCACACATGACTATATTTAGACTTACACATTGAGAGAATTTGATGAGTCAAAGTGCTTAGATGAACAGTTCCAAAAGTCAAATGTGAACAAATACATGGGAACGGAGGGAGTAATAGTTGTACAGAGTCAAACATTTAGGAAGAGTCAAACATTTAGGACTGGATTTGAAATGGGCAGAATATGTATTTTGTTAGTTTCAGTCAACTTACATGCACGCCCATCATCATTTAACTTTCGCCGCCAAGATAGAAGACGGCTTTCTATTTTCTCCTATTTTTTACTCCGTAGTATTTTAATGTTACAAAGACGCTATATAAACAGATTGATAAGGAGAGTCGATCCCAAGAACACAATCATCTATCAATGGACTCCTCATTCATCTCCACATTCTTCTCCGCCGTCCTCTTCTTCTCATTCACTGCCGCCGCCTATTCACTCATGATGAACAACCGGAAAAAGTCCATAGACGGGAAGCTGCCGCCGGGGCCGTGGAGGTTGCCCGTCATCGGAAGCATGCACCACCTGGTGGGTTCATATCCCCTCCGCCGCTTGAGAGAGCTGGCCAAAATACACGGCCCCCTCATGCACGTTCAGCTCGGGGAAGTCTCGGCCATCATCGCGTCGTCCCCCGACATGGCCAAGGCCGTGTTCAAGACCCACGACTTGGCGTTCGCTTCCCGCCCGAAACTATTGATCCCCGATATCGTGTGCTACAAGCGGTCCGACATCGTCTTCTCCCCCTACGGAGACTACTGGAGGCAGATGCGCAAGATCGTCGTTCTCGAACTCCTCAGCAACAAAAGCGTTCAGGGGTTCGACTCCATCAGGCGGGACCAATTGTCCCGCCTGCTGGAACTCATCCGTTCCCACGAAGGCCGACCGGTGAACCTGACCGAGATGATCTTCCGATTCACCAGCGCGATGACGTGCCGGTCCGCCTTCGGGAGCGTTTTCGAGAGAGGGGACGAGTTCATCACCCTCATCAAGGAGGTGCTGGTCTTGCTGGGAGGGTTCGACGTGGCGGACATACTCCCCTCTCTCACCCTCTTGCACGGCCTCAGCCCGATGCGGCGTAAGGTCATGAGAATTCACAAAAAGGTCGACGCCATTCTCGACGACGTAATCGGCGAGCACAAGAAGAGCCTCGCGTCCGGAAGCACGGGAAACGGGGAGAAGGGCGGGGAGGACTTGATCGACGTCCTCCTCAGATTGAAACGCACCGGCGGCCTGCAGTTCCCAATCACCGATGACAACATCAAGGCCATCGTGTTCGACCTGTTCACGGCCGGAACGGAGACTTCGTCGACAACAATCGTGTGGGCGATGGTGGAAATGATGAGAAACCCGGGGGTGCTGGCCAAGGCGCAGGCGGAGATGAGGGGAGCGGCTGGGGGCGAGGTGGAAAAGCTCAAGTACATGAAACTGGTGGTGAAGGAAACCCTCCGCCTGCATCCTCCGTCTCCGCTCTCAATCCCTCGGGAGTGCATGGCGGAGACGGAGATCGAGGGGTACACGATCCCCGCGAAGGCATGGATCATGGTCAACATACAGTCCATAAGCAGGGATCCGGCGTACTGGGATGACCCGGAGAGCTTCGTGCCGGAGAGGTTCGAGAACAGCGGGGTGGACTTCATGGGGAATAACTTCGAGTTCCTGCCCTTCGGGGGCGGGAGGAGGATATGCCCGGGACTCTCATTTGGGTTAGCCAATGTGTATCTCCCCTTGGCCCACTTGCTTTACCATTTCGACTGGAAACTCCCCCGGGAAACCGAGCATGCAAGGAGCTTGGACTTGACGGAGTCACCAGGGATTACTGCCGGAAAGATGGACGACCTTTACTTGATTGCCACCGCCGTTTGATGAATTATTATTTTTCAAATTTATTTCATTAAGTACGTAATTACAATAATAATGTGGGAGCGTTTGCATTTTGACCATTATAAAACTTAAATCATTTTTCTAAATAGTAAACTGCTTTATTCCCTAAATAACAATTAATAATGTTGAATATTTACTTGAATAATGACTAATGGTTAATGACTAACATTAGGAAAAAAAACACATATGATGCTATTTAGAAAAAATCATTATATTTTAATGTTATATAAGTAAATTCCTACTTAAAAATCCAGAGAGATGTGGCTCATCCTTTCTAAATTTATTTATCAATTGCGCATGATTTTTTTTCATCATTCCAATTTTTCCATCTCTTCCTTACAAGTCATGTAATATTTCATTATTCATTATAGATTAGTAGGCTTTTAGATTATTACGCTTTGGGCTTTGTGTAAGGGCTACCAGACGCTAGGCTTGTTGGGCCATTAATTGCTGCATTCATAATTTTTACTAGGTAAATTTTTTTGTTAGTCACTAATATGAATTTTAGTTTTTACTCGATTATATAATGTATCATTAATTCAAATTCTATCTCGGAATTTGTGCGTATTGATATAAAATTGTAAAAAACGCTCCCATTTATCGCGAGTCTAATTCTCGTTGGAAATTCAGCATGAATAATGCGTATAAGCTAAAAGGACCGAACGTGTATAAAGCCCAAAGGGTGTTGACTTTAGAAGTTGCCAACTCAATAATTTCAATGGACACGTGTATGCTGACTTGTAAAAAATTTGCGAATAGGCCTGCCACGTCTCAAGCTTAAGTGATTTTATTCTCAAATTTTATATATAAAGACAAAAATATATTAGATTAAATATCTTTAGAAGAAATAACGAATTTATTACTTGACGAATATATATATTGTACAACCGATTGTACGGTATTTCTCGTATATTAGAGTTTAGGATTTAGTACTTTTTTTCGAGCAAGTAAATATTCTTTTTTCGAACAACAGGATTTTATACTCATTTTCAAAAAAGTGAATACTCATTTTCTAAAGTTTAGTTATGTTCGATAATAAATATTTTGTTATACAAAATTGAATATTCAATTCTTTGAATAGGTATGGTATAAATAGTGACATATGGTTTGGATATAAAAAGAGAATTGTTCTGCCCGAACTAAAGCCAAATGCAAGCTTTTTTCTTTATACCCTAAATATTTGTCACACTTGTATTCCTGAGGTAAAATATCAAGTTTTTTCAATATATTTTATTTACATATTGGTATAGAAATAAAAAATTAAATTTACATATCAAAAAACTTCATGAAAAATTCTTCGAAATAAGAGGTGTCAAGAATATTTTATTTTATCAAATAACCAATGAAAACGTAGAAATAAACAAAAGTTCTCGCGACTTCTGAAAAAGCAAATGTTGCAAATATTTAGGGGCGGAGGGAGTATTTTGGTGCCACATACTCCATACATCATAGTAGATTACTATCTATCCGTTCGTGAGTATTTATTCACTTTTGACAACTTTTGGTAAAAATTAGTAAATTTTAACCTCAAATCAAATAAAAATGATATTTGATATTGATACAAAATAGTTTTATTAGATTTATTATATCAAATAATTTTAAAATACTACTTTATCTAATCAATATACAATATATATTTTATTTAATTATAGGTTAAATATTGAAAATAATTAAAAAAAGTCAAGACTTGACAAATAATCAAGGTGAGGACGGAGGTAGTATGAGAGAAGGTTCAAACTAGGAGTAAAACATATGAAGCTTCCGTACTGTGTTGAGTTAACTCTGATGAATAATTAAATTTATTTTGAAATGTTGGATATTTAATAAAATGTTGTTAAACTATTTGGCTTGCGAATCAATTTAGTACCAACACAGTTCACTAATCTCTTTATTCGGGTTACGTGAGTTGGGACGTTACAAAAGGTAACAATAGGGGTGGACACGGTACCAGTACGGTACCGTGATCGGAAACTGTACCGCCGGTGCCCACCACCGTCACCTCCGGCCGGAAAGTTCCACCGGCTCCGGGAACCGGTACCGGAACCGCCTCATCCGGTACCGGTTCCAGTACCCATTTTTCGGTATCGGCACCGGCAGTTCCGGTTCCGGTACCGTTATTAATTTTTTTTATTTTTATTTTTTTATTTCATTCTTTCCTTTATCAATTTCATTTTTAGATTTTTTTATTTCATTTTTTCCTTTAACAATTGCACATTTAAAATTTTACACTTTAAAAATTTAATAAAAAAACAAAAAAAATTGGGGGTGGCCGAAACCGGCCGGTTCGGTACCAGAACTGCCGGTCCAGGAACCGGTATCGGTACCGGTACCAAAGGGTAGCGGTACCGGAACTGGCGGTTCCGGAACCGGAACCGTACCGTGTCCACCCCTAGGTAACAAGGTACAATTATCTCCTTCTCTTATCATCTCTCTTCTTAGTTTCCTTCTTCCCGAGCTTGCTGTGTGCATGCAAGATCTTCGGAATTTAACAAATTTGTATGTGCAATCAATAATTATAGGAAAATGCTAGGGGTACACATTCACCGAAGGTGTACCCCATTTGTCCCACATCCCTTCCATTATCACTTAATTAGGCAAGAAAATTAAAAAAAATAAGTAAATAAAAATAAAAAATAAATGAGTGGTTATTGAAGGGGTGATGTACAAATGGGGTACACCTTTAGTGTACCCCTAGCATGACCCATAATTATATATCTCTGCATATAGTATACTGAGTATGTATGCATTGTTCCCTATTCGTTTTCCGCATGCTCCCTACCTTCTAAAATATTCTTTCCGCTGTGGTTTTCGAGGTTTGACTTAAAATATTTTAATTAAATTTATTTGATTATAAAAGTAAAGTTTAAAAATAAAAATTGTACGTGGTATAAAATTTATATAAAACTATATCAAAAGCTCTACAAAATAAGATGTAATATGAGTATATTAATTTATAAAATAACTAACCAAACTGATAAAGAAAGTTATTAATGTAAATAGTGACTTGAAAAAGTGTTAAGACCGAGGGAGTGCTTATTAAAAAGAAAAGATGGTCAAATTGGACCTCGAAGACTCCTCTTTGAGTATCTTTAATCTTTATCAAAACTGTCATTTTCCCTTTTTTGTTTTTTGGTTTTTTATACCACTTCCCAAACACCCCCTATATGGTTTCATTACTCGCACATCCCCTGTGAACAGTCACTCTCACATTCGACTACTTTTTTCACAACACATAAATCCATAGATTTTCGGACAAGAAACTCACAATGACCAACACATGCACAAATTAAAATTGTCTTTAAGATAGCTCACAAACAACTTAATTAGCTTGTTGATATGAATTTCTTCTTTGTTGTACACACCAATAATTCTCTTATGAGAAATATTGAATGATTCAAAAACATGGGTTAATGATGCCATTAGTGAGGACACATGATAGAATATAATATAGAAATATTTGCACTAAATAGCATTAAAACTTAAGTCATTATCATAAATAACATTTAAATTGTTTTATTCTCTAAATAGTACTTGTCCGTCCCAAAAAGTCAGTTACGTTTCGAAAAAATTGCGTCCATTAAAGTCTTTTATATTCTATTAAAAAATCATTTTTACTCTTTACTTTTTCATACCCTACATATCACACCATACCTTTTTTCTAATAATCTACCCATCACATCCTACTTTTACCCATCACATCAAGGGTATTTTTGGAAAGTCAACACCAAAATATCCTCCTTATTTTACTACTTTAGTCAAAATGTATCAATCTTTTTGGAACGGATGTAGTATTTAATAATGTCCAATCATGGCAAACATTTACATGAATAATGACTAATTGTGAAACGCCCACCGAAATGGCTGATTTGTAAATATGGTCTAATTAATGAGAGGATATCAAATACGTTGATCTTTGGTTCAAATCCCGATAGAGGTAGTGTGGAGTTTTATTATTTGTAATAGCTCCTTGTACATATCGGATACAAGACGGTCTCTTTAAGAATCAGATTGAAATCATATCATGATTTATTCTCCTCACAATCCTGTCAGGCCAGAGTGTGGGGTAGACATTCCACCTTTTTTTGGTAAGTTGGGGCGCCGGCGAGTTAATGAACACACATCATTATCCTTCATATGGAGGCATGTGAGGCTAAAAAAGAGTGAAAACATAGAGATGCAGCTTTGAACCAACTTTATCAAAATATCCCAAACAATTACTGGTAATAATTAATGAAGTGGTGAAGTATCTTTGATTTATCCATCTTTCAAGAAGGCAAAGGCTAATAATAATTAGTCGTAGCAAAGTGAAAAAGTGAAAAGCTTATCAATAATTATAAGCTCTCCCCCACCACCCACCAATAACAATTATTCTCTCCGTCCCAGAAAGAATGCCACGTTTACTATTCTTGCCTCTCGATAACTTTTGTTTGTTTACTCGTTTTGGTTGACCATTTAATAAAATAAAATATTCTTGTCGCATCTTGTTTTGTAGAGCTTTTCATATACTTTTAAATGGTGTAATTTTTACTTTTTATTACTCTACCAATTTGAAATTAAAGTGATTTTAAAAGAGATGATATTTTGCACGTCGTTCAAAGTGTTGCAAATAAATTGAGATGGAGGGAGTAATTAATTCCTGCTCCTCCTCCTCTTGCTCCATATACGCCTTTAACCAAATTCTCTGTCGCGCCTCAGTATGGTGGTGGGTTCCCTTGGCTCTCTTTTGGATATGTTCTGGAAACTGGATTGGACATCGACCCAAACAAGATATTGGGTCTAGGGTTGATTGGTCGAATCGGGGGTCAATGACTCGGTCAAACAATATTTATAATAATAATATTTTATATTATATATAAGAAAAAAATTAATTTGTTTGTTTAATTTTCCATCTAGTTTTTTATATCACTGTGCATTTGCTATTTCACACCTTTATTTTGTATTCGATTATTTTTATTATTGTTAAAAATTTATAATGAATGTCTAATAAATATTTAAATAATTAGGCGATACACATATTCTCAAAAAATAAAGACTAGATAGTGTATTGTTTTATACCATCAACATTTTAAACTTTATATTTAGTTGATTAAAATGATTGGAAAAAAATTAGGATATTAAATTATAAATACTAAATATTACTTGAGTTTTAAAATAACAATAATTTTCAAGTATTAAATTTACAATGTATATTTGATTTTGAAAAAAATTAAATAATCTCAATTTTTTGAAACTATTTAAAAAATTCATAAAGTGAATAAGATATAAATGCACACTTGCAAAAAAACCTAATTTTATTAGTTTGTTTTGTATGTCACATATGTAAAACAGTATATATATATATATATATATATATATATATATATATATATATATATATATATATATATATATATATAAAATTTTAAAACAGATACTTTTATGCATAACTGTAATTGTTTAATAAATATAACTTTAAAGTTTAAAAGTTTTTTCTTTAGAATCCCAAATTTAGACTTTTGATTTATTTGATTTTTTGACATACTGACTCAAAAGTCACCAGTTGGAATCTCATCACAATCCACTATACATGTAAAAATTAATGTACACATAGTGCAAAATTTGACTACACAGTGCAAAATTTGACCAAAAACATATCTCATTAGCAAGTAAAAGGCCGAGTTAGAGTTCAAAATATATTTGGCCGTACAACCAACTACAACTTCAAGTTTATAGTTTAATTGGTTCTTGGATAATAGCGAATGTCAAATACCCAACACAACAAAAAGCTTAAAATTATGATTTTTCTAGGCCTAGAGAAAAACTTTATACTCTAACATACACCTCGTGTGCAAGGAAGATTTGTTTTTACTCAAGTTTTACAAATGATTGTCAAAGAACCAGCTTCAAATAAATTAAATATTATATTAGTCCATTTAAAGGCTTAGCTTGTTTTTTTCACCTGACTTGATTTGAATAAATTCTTATCTAATTTATTTTGATCTAATTGTAATTTTATTTAAAGATCTTTCTAATTTGATCTGTTTTAGACTAATCAAATTTAATTCTAATTAAAATAAGTACTCGCTCCGTCCTAAAAATAATTTCTTATTTGACTTTTCACGGTTTCCAATGCAACACTTTGACCATTAATATCTTTATTTTTATATAATTATATATTATAAAAATAAAATATTTCAAAACTATGTTACAAAATGAATCGATTGACATTAAATATAATTTATATTAAAATTCAATATTTTTTAAATAATATTCTGTCAAAATTTTAAAAATTTTACTATAAAATTCAAACCGAAAAAGTTAATTTTAAAACAGAGAGAGTAATAAATAATAAAAATAAATTGGAAAGAAAGAAACTAGTTGTAATAAGAAGTACTACCTCCATCCCAAAAAGAATTTCCTACTTTGATTAACGTACAAAATCTCGTGGATTTTTAAATTATTTTATTTGTAAATTGGTAAGGAAATAACACATAAAAAATTATATTTTAAAATTACATCGAAAACTCTACAAAATAAGAGGTGACAAGAATATTTTATTTTATCAAATGATCAATGAAAACACACAAACAAATGATCAATGAAAACATACATTTCTTGTAGGAAGAGGGGGATGGAATCTCAATAAATTCCTTTTCAAAATGGGGCACCGTTTGAGGATTTGCTCCACCTTTTTTTGTTTTTGTTTTTAATGCTCTCTTTTTTTAATGGTCTCAATTACCGAGGAAGTTGCATGGCATATATACACAGTTCGTATTGTATGGCCGTATAGTAAACTCATTCCGTATAGTACTTTAAATTGTACCTACTTTCTGGGTCTAGAAATATTCTTTAAAATTTTGATTATGATATGTGAAAAAATACATTATATTACTATTTAACTTTAATATGAATATATTCATTTTGAAATATAGTTTTCAAATATCAAATTTTTATAAAATATATTCATGTATAAATAAAGATATTAGTGGTCAAAGTACAATCTTAGAGACCGTAAAATATCAAATGGGGGAACATTTGGGGGATGTGTAATAATTAAGCTACATATAACATACTACTCCCCCGACCACTATATAAACCTTTCCAACCATTACACAAACATTCATCCATTGTCACTCTTACTGTTCTAGTCATTAATTAGTTCTCTCCCTACCAAGGTTTGGATTTCTCCATTGTTTTTCTTTATTCATACTTATTTTATCTTAATAATAATAATAATAATGAAATAGTTATTGTACTTTTATGGGCAATCAAGAGCAAAGATGAACAGGCCAGGAGACTGGAATTGCCGGTCATGCCAGCACTTAAACTTTCAAAGGAGAGACAGTTGCCAGAGGTGTGGGGAGAGGAAAAGCGGCGGCGGAGACACCGATCAGTTCGGGAGCTTCGGCGGCGGAAGAGGCTTCGGCAACGGAGGTTTCGGCGGGTTCACCGGCCCGGATGTCCGCCCCGGAGATTGGTACTGCTCCTTCGGCCATTGCGGCGCGCATAACTTCGCCAGCCGCTTCAGTTGCTTCAAGTGCGGGGCCTTTAAGGATGACGCCGCCTCCTCCGATGCTGCCGACAACATGTCTCGTTCTCGCGGCGGCAGCGGCGGCGCTGCTAGTGGCAGCAACCGCTCCGCCTGGAAGTCCGGCGACTGGATCTGTACCAGGTACGTACTAGGTACTAGGTACTCCATCCCTCACTTTGGGAATTTACATAAATAACACTTAAACCTAATGACTTTCTCCAAATAGCACCATATGCGTTTTTTTTGTAATGTTGTGCTTTAAATCATTATCAATTAGTCATTATTCAAGTAAGTGTTTGCCATGACGAAACATTATTCCTATATTTATGGACATTATTAAGTGATATTTAGAGAATAAACAAGTTTAAGTGTTATTTAGGGAAATGACTTAATTGTACAAATATTTCTCAAATTAATGACTAGTTATTGTGGCGCGGAGAACATACAGGTCAGGTTGCAACGAACACAACTTTGCGAGTCGGATGGAGTGTTTCCGATGCAACGCCCCACGGGATGCCGCCGCCGGCGGTGGCAACAAATTTTCTTACTGATCCCATTTTGGGGGTATGTATGTAACACAATTTTATTTTTAAGATGTTACAATTAATTAAGGCTGTTATTTTTAGTACTCCTTTTGAAACAATATAATACATGCATGCATATTATTAAAGTTAAATGTGAAATTAATAATTGATTATTCGCATCCTTATTATTATTAATATTATGACAGATTTGTATCATCAAATTGCAAGAGAGATCATCACGAAAAATGCACCGGAGAGGGACCCAAATCAATTCAACAAGGAGATGATGAAATACAAATATTGTCTACTATATATATATATATATATATATATATATATATATATATATATATATATATATATATATATCGCCACCAGCCTGCTCAGCTTTCTTTCTTCTTCTAATTTTTATCCCCTAAATTTTTAGTTTTTTTTATTTTTATTTTCTAGGCGTTGAATCGCATGCAGTTTTATTAGTAGTTTAGATGGAATTATCGTAATCTCCAGTTTGTGAGTTTTAATTAATTATATTAATCTCGAGCAATCTTATTTAATCAACTACGAATAGCTATCGTTCCTATAATTAGCTTTTAGTAGTATAGTACTACTCATTGTTGCTACTAATACAAGTACAAATGCATGCATTTCTTTTTTTTAATTCATTAGGTCCTTGAACAATTTCCACCTCTCTATTTCACTCCCGACAAATTCTATGCTAGACTTAAGATTTACTATGGACTTACTACTAAATTATGTGAGAAGGTCCATAAGAATGATATGCACCTAAAGTGAAACATAGAAGCACACATCGTTAATGATATCCGTTTTTTCATGTGTTTTATTTTGTCATAATATTTCTAACAACAAAGCGTTCATTTATTACCCATTTAGAAAAAGAAAATACTCTTATCATTTTGTGTTGAAATATCCGAACAAAGGCCAATATAATAGGGCAGTATGTCGTGTAAAATTAACAACCTTTCGTATAATATTGAGATCTACTCTCTAATCCAGAAACTAATAGTGTCTCTTTGCTTTTGCCGATATGAAAACTATAATTATAAAAACACTTCTTATTTTGTGAAATTTTATACTATAATTATTAAATATATGAAGTATAATTTTTTGTTTTAAAATTTTACCTCAATTTTTATTGGAACAGTTATAAGTAACTTTATTATTGTAACTACAATTAGAAAAATATTTCCTTCAAAGTTGCTTAGGTTCGAGGATCAAGCCAACGTAATTCAATAGTGAATGAAATTGGACCTACCGTAATTAATGAAAATGCTTTCTTCAAATTTCTTATCCAACTCATTATATAAACAAGGGTTGGTTGTTTAGCTATTCCAAGTACGATACTGTTTGCTAATGTAATTTAATGAGAGTTGTCTCAAAAAGAGGAAAATGTGGCACACATGAAAGAATATACTCCGTAATTATTGTTCATGGAAAATGAGACTTATCATTAACTAATACTATTTCATAACCATATATAGATTAAATAAACTACGAAGAAATAAATAATAAGGAGTATTATTTTTTTCAACATTCTAAATAATCAATGCATTAGGAATTAATAATAAATTATTTATGTATATATTCAATAGTATTTATCCATTATTTACATCGTTTTCATTCACTTTGTGGGCTTGTGGCTAAGAACCCTAGCTATTTACTCCCTCGGTCCCATGAAACATGGGAGTTTTGCTTTTTAGGAGGGATTTAAGGGAATGTATTTTGGTATTGAATTTCCAAAAATGTCTTTTGATGTGATGGATAAAAGTATGATTTGATGGATAGATTATTAGTAAAAAGGTATGATGTGATAGTTAGGGTATGAAAAAGTAAGGGGTAAAAGTGACTTTTTAATAGAAATGAGAAGTGTTTTGTGGGACGGATAAAAAAAAGGAGAAAGGTTTTATGGGACGGAGGAAGTATAAGAAAAGATTGATTATTTTCAAGAAACGGGGTGTCGAGAACAACAAAATCATAACCTGTAAATTTAATTATTTGCATATACAGTCAAAATCCACTATTTAATCCAAAAAATTAATTAAAGTGATTGGTAGGATTTCATCTTTATATATAAATGCTAGTGGTATTTTCATTCGTTTTCCAATGTGAAGAATCTAACATTATGCATTTAATTTTACTTAAACTTATTACCCGGAGTAATAACAATTGAGATCATAAATGTACTCGGTAAGGTATATGGTACAACCGGATGTACATGGAGATAGGTACATCCGGGTTGTACTCATTCTGAAACAAAGTAGTACTCATTCTCGCACAAACATAATTATTCATTTTGAAAACGCGGTACTCATTCTAAAATAACGCAGTACTCATTCTAAAATAATGTAGTACTCATTTTCACACATTTATTCAATATAGTTATAATATTTATTCACAAATAATGTAATGTTCATTCTGAATAAAAATAGTACTCATTCTCAAATAACTTAATGCTCATTCTAAAATAAAATAAAACACATACCATAAATAACCTTTTTCTATTTTTATGCAAATAGGGTTTCATCCCAGCCCCTTCTCCAGCGGTTTTCTTTCGACCCGACCCGCTGTAAGTAACGCCGCCGCCACTTTCTCCTTAGATCTTCCTTCTCCATGGTTTTCTCTTGATTTTCGCCACCATTGCTCTTCTTCATCTTCACTCCTCCATCGTCTTCCGTCTTCGCTACTCTTCGTCATCACCGCCAGCACCTTCCGTCTTTCTTCTCCGGTGGCCCGACCCGGCCAATAGAGGAGCGGCACTAATTCCGGCGGCTTCAGTTCCATCTCATTCCCTTCTTCAATTAGCCGGTTGTACCTAAAAATAGGTACAATCGAATGTACGATATAATTTGCGTCTGTACATTATATTTTACCCTATAGAGACGATTCTACTCCCTCCGTCCCTAATTTGATTACAATTTTTTTATGTCCTCTCGATAATTTTAGTTTGTTTGCGCGATTTCATTAAATATTTAATAAAATAAAATATTCTTGTCACCTCTTGTTTTGTAAAACTTTTGACGTAGTTATTTAATATGTAATTTTTTTTCTTATCGATATATCAATTTGTAAATAAAATAATTTTAAAAAGTGAGATAATTTTTCTCGTAAACTCCAATTTGTAATCAAATTTGAAACGGAAGAGGTATCCGAGAATAGACCTCAAAATACACATTTTATTCAAAAAAACACGGAGAGTGTGATAAAATTTTACTCCCTCTGTCCGACTAAGATCTTCTCGTTTTGACTTTTTGTGATTTTTAAGGAGAGTTGAAAAAAGGTGAAAGTTTACCATTATACCTTTAAAGAAAATAGATGGAGTGTATTAAATGAGGTGAATGAGGTATAATAAATAAAATAAGTGTGTGTAGTTGTAGTATTTTACTCTCTCTGTCCCCAATTTGATTACAAATTGCGGGTTACGGAGTAAAATTTTCTATTTTTTGAAATCATTTTATTTACAAATTGGTATATCAATAATAAAAAAAATTATATATTAAAAAACTACGTCAAAAGTTCTACAAAACAAGAGGGGACAAGAATATTTTATTTTATCAAATACTTAATGAAATCGCGTAAACAAACAAAAGTTATCGAGAGGAGAGAAAAAAAATTGTAATCTATTTAGGGATGAAGGGAGTAAATGTTAAAAAAGGTAATGTGAAGAAGATCTATTTTTTACAAATAAAAAGTACTAATGAAAAGATCTATGATTTACAGAGTGAGTACTAATTTATTTTTTGGTTTCCCTAGAGATGCCCTCTCGAGTTTGTATTTGTTTTGTTTGTTTTTGGTAATGATGAGTGTACTCATTTCCACTGACGCACTGAGTTGCACTTTATTCTCTGATTATACTCTTTTATTAAACTCACATACTTTTATTGAAAGAATAAATAAAGAAAAGGCTACAGAATCTCTTTATTCTTTGTTCAGTCACTGAATTTCGTTATGAGTATTTTTGTATCCGCCGCGTAATAATAAGGACAAAACAATAGTCCCCGAGCCCAATACGTCCTTCATCAAGTCCTTCCGTTTTCAAAAATATTTTTGATGTAATGGTTAGAAGAAATAAAATATAATGGATAAATAAAAAAATTGATGTAATAGATAAGATAAGAATTACAATGAATATAAGTGACTTTTAGAGAAACAAGAAAGGACGACTTGCTCCATTTGGAGATTGATCAATATTTCAAGATTTATTTATAGACTTTTAAAATTTGATGGATCCCCGTGCGTAACTAATAATATTGAAGGACCAATAATGGTGCATTTAATTAGCCTTGAAACAAAAATCAAGCCTGTAGTACAGTGGGTCCATGCATGTTTGGGAATTTATTTATTCAAGTTAGCTGGTGGGCGTTGCGCATTTGAGAAAGATAGTAAGTGCTAAGGGGTAAAACTTAAGTTTGATTCTTAACAACTGCGCTGAAAGACAAGTATGCTAAGTAATAGGTGCAGACTTCATCCTCACAGTGATTATTGTTTGGTCGGGTTTAAAAGGACCCTCGGGATATATGAGGTCATCCTTTTTTTAAATTTATTTGAGTCTTGCACACAAAGGTTAATGTTTTTGACAATTTAATAGTTGACAAAAAAATTTAAACTTGTGACATGTAACAAGACTTTGGTACATAATAAAAAACCAATTCAATTTAAAAAAAGGTAGTAAGAATTAAGGACTCTTTGTACTCCGTCACATGACTTTTTGCAATATTCTTCATTCATTCAATTGCAGGCTTTACATATTTTCATGTTTTAATTTAAAGTTCACCTTAATGCATGTAATCATGATCTTTCACACACTCTTTTTTCTTTAGTCATATCATTAATTCCCGCCGTCCCACAAAAAAGTTCATTCCTATTTTGATGTATTTTTGGTTAAATAGTTACACGTTTTGACCATAAATTAAATATACTCTAAATAAAGAAATGTTACAAAAATTTGAGATATCAAAACTAGATCCTAAGATGAATCCAATTATATTAAATTTATTTTATAATTCAATATACTTTTCTCACAATTTGTAGTCAAAACGTGTAAATATTTGACTAAATATTATTTAAAATGCGAACTTTTTTTGTGGGACGGAGGGAGTATATTACTCTTACCATCCCAAAATATGGTTTTCACAATTGATTAAACACAACATAGGGTTAACTTTCAAAAATATTTAAGGTAAAGTTTGAGGTTTAAAGTATTTTAATTTGGTAAAAGAACATACACACATAAGAAATGGTATGATTTTAGTGATACTGGCCGGGTACATGACATTTTAGTGCAATTGGCATTTAAGGGCACCTTTCGTAATTTATTAATAAAATTGATGATTCATATTTTTCTTACCGCATGATAACCCCCGGCCCTCTCCACTGTGGTCTAGACAAACCGACTACCATAACCCTTTCAATTTCATCCTCAAAATTTTAACTAGTTGACTATCGGGTAAAAATATATTTAACCCTAAAATCAACAAAATTTTGGAGAATAAAAATTGAATGGGTTGGGGGTTCAAGCTAGCTAGATAGGGTGAGAGGATTTATCGAGTAATCAGAGGTAAGAATAATCAATTTTACAAATGTCGAACCATAAATCCTCCCATCCGAGTCAGTGTCATCCTTTAATATATACTCTATGAATGAGTATAAATAGAATAGATTTTAAACATATCTTGGAATCAAGTATATATAGAAATGAACTAAAATACTACCACAATTAATATTAACCATTATTTTAAATGTCTAACAACTAATTCCCTTACACTCCGCTCGCATTATCATTCTACACATACACGAAAAGCACGTGCACTAACTCATTTCTTACATATAGACTCACACAACAAATTAAAACATTTAAGGATGACCCCTCGAGAAGAGCACTAACTCATAAGTGCACTAACTCATTTCTTACATATAGACTCACACAACGCCTATATGGTTGCTTGAAACAAATTAAATCACACAACAAACATTTTGTTGTTCTTAATTTACCAAATTCAAAACATTTAAGGATGACCCCTCGAGAAGAGCAATGTTTTTCAACCGAGATTGTGAACCGTGGGATCGAGCTATCGGGACCCGACGCCGGAGTCCTAACGTTCTCTGTTAAGGTTCGTCGCCGGCTGCCGGATTTCGTGCAGTCCGTGAAACTGAAGTACGTCAAATTGGGGTACTATTACTTGATAAACAACGGGTTGTGCGTTGCCGCCGTGATGCCGCTTCTAGCGGCGGCGGTGCTCGGCCTGGAGCTGGTATGGGACTGTAAAGGACGGCGGCCTGATCTTTACCTTGCGGTTGTGGTTCCACTTCTGGCTCTCCTAGGTCTCTCTCTCTCACTTTTCTACATGTCTAAGCCAACGCCTATTTACCTTGTCGACTTTGCATGCTCTAAACCAAATGACAATCTTAAGGTAATGATACTATTATAACTCTTAGAATATAAATAACTCTTCCTAGGCCACAAACATAAATTTGAGATTTTGGTTTAGTTGGTTAGTTGACATGGTATCGGAGCTTCGTTGACTAAGAGGCCACAAGTTCGAAACTCAGCGTCACCCAGTTTAAAAAAATTAAAGTTTCATGTGCAAGGCTCGAAAAAGACTATGCTTGCACGTGAGGGGGCGTGTTAGAATATAAATAAGAGAAATTTACCTAAGTAGGACTAAAACATAATGACTTTCCCAATATAGGACCATATGTTTTTATTTCCCAATATAGGACCTTTGGTCATTATAAAGTAGTTATTATTCAAGTAAATGTTCATCATTACTGGACATTATTCCTCGACTAGGTCATTATTAAGTCCTATTTAGGGAATAAAAAAGTTTAAGTCCTACATTGGGAAAGTCATTATGTTTTAGTCCTATTTAGTGCAAATTTCACTATAAATAACTGTTCCTGGGCCATAACCATAAGCTTGAGCTTTTGGTTGAGTTGGTTATTTGACAATAACGGATTACTCCGTATATTATAGCAACTTCAAGGCATATGTAATAACAATATTTTATTTTATCAAATAAAAAATTAAAAAACACAAGAAAACCAAAATTACGTTATGGTCAAAGAACCAACTCAACCTTGTGATTGTGGTCGAGTAATATTTTTTATATACCCTAACACGCCACTTAAGTTGGATAAAAAGAGATTGTGACGTCACTGCTCGTTGTGTGGGCTAGACCTGTTTGTCCAAGGTCTAACTAGGTTAGACTAATTACTACTTGGGGAGGAGTGTTTGGAATTCTCACATTGGAAAACAAATATGAATACCACTTGTGTGGTTGCAGGTGACAAAGGATGAATTCATAGATATTGCGAGAAAGACAGGAACCTTCAACGACGAGAGCCTGGACTACATGAGGAGATTGTTAGAGAATTCGGGCATCGGGGACGAGACCTACGTCCCCAAGTCCATCGGGTACCCGGAGAAGGACCGGGCGAGTCTAAAGGTCGCCCGGGAAGAGGCATCGGCGGTGATGTTCGATGCCATAGACGAGTTGTTGGAGAAGACGAGCGTAAGGGCCAAGGAAATAGGAGTGTTGGTGGTGAACTGCGGGGTTTTCAACCCGACGCCGTCCATATCCGCCATGGTCATTAACAGGTACAAGATGAGGGACGACATCCTGAGTTGGAACCTCGGCGGCATGGGCTGCAGCGCCGGGATCATCGCGCTGGACTTGGCTCGGGACATCCTCCGAGCCAACCCTCGTTCTTGCCGCTTCGCCTTGCTCGTCAGCACCGAGGTCGTCGGCTCCACGTGGTACTCCGGAAACGACCCATCCATGCTCATCCCCAACTGCTTCTTCCGCACCGGCTGCTCCGCCGTCCTCCTCTCAAACCGCTGCCGCGACAGCCGCCGCTCCAAGTACCGGCTCGAACACATCGTCCGCACCCACCATGGCTCAAACGATCAAGCCTTCAGGTAACGTAAAGCCGTCCGTACCGTAGGTGCCCTAGTTGTATTGACTAACGTGGTAATAAGAAATATTTGCACTAAATAACACTAAAACTTAAGTCATTTCCGCATGCATGCAGGTCTATCTACCAAGACGAAGACGGGGAAGGGAGAAAGGGGTTGAGAATAAACAGGGAGTTGATGCGGGTAGGGGGAGAGGCGCTGAAAGAGAACATAACGACGTTGGGGCCGATGGTTCTCCCCCTAACGGAGCAGTTCTTGTTCTTCAAGACACTGCTCCGGAGAGTAGTGACGGGGGAGAAAACGAGGCCGTACATACCGAACTACGAGGGGGCGCTGACGCACCTGTGCGCGAGCGCGGCGAGCGAGCGGCTGCTGGAGGAGCTGAGGCGGAACCTGAAGCTGGGGGAGGAGAGGATGGAGGCGTCCCGGGCGACGCTGGACCGGTTCGGGAACACGTCGAGCAGCAGCATATGGTACGAGGTGGCGTACTTGGAGGCGAAGGGGAGGGTGAAGGCCGGGAACCGGGTTTGGCAGCTGGCTTTTGGGTCCGGGTTCAAGTGCAATAGCGCCGTCTGGGTGGCTTTGCGGCAGATCACCAAACCTCACTCTCATAACCCTTGGCTTAATTGATTGATTGCCTCCACCGCTACCCGAACCTCACTAGTTATTTAATTAGCTTNACACTGAAAATCACTACGGAGTATTTAATAATTTTAAGAAAAAAGTACAGCTCCGATTAATAATTATTGTACGTATTTGTAAGCGGGAAATATATATATATATATATATATATATATATATATATATATATATATATATATATATATATATATATATATATATATATATATATTTCCCGCTTACAAATACGTACAATAATTATTAATCGGAGCTGTACTTTTTTCTTAAAATTATTAAATACTCCGTAGTGATTTTCAGTGTGATATATGATCGAGAGTATGTCACACCTGCAGGTTATATGGGGATCGACATTGCAATGTGTTTCACAACTCACAAGGGTTTCTCCATGAGCATTAAAATATTTATGGTATCAAAATTGTTGTGTTTCCAAGAAAATGTTGAAAATGAACCAAACATACCAATATTATATTGCGTGGTATAATTAAGAAAAATTTGCTCTATATAAGACAAATAATACGCTTCTCTAAGTAGCTAGGACTAAGTATATTTTATTCTTTTTGTGATAAATATTGGTTTATGATCTAGCATACATGTCATCATTAACAACAAGTATTGAATACTGATTAATTACATTAATAACATTATTAATGTGGTCATTAACAATAAATATAAGATAATGACTTGAAGTTTTTTTTATGAATTCAGTAGTCATTTTCAAAGGTGGGATATTTTATGACTTTTTATTTTCAAACGTTAGAGTAAATAAGATCGGTTTTATTTTGAGAAAAATGATACCCTATATTTAAGTCCCAATGGCGTAAATTACCCTATAATTAGTCAAAGTTGATACATTCGCATACTAATCTTAATTACTAAGAGCAACTTTAACAATTATTCCCACTTTCTCATCGATCTCTCGTATGTTATTTGTGACACATCTCAAACTCGGCTTGATTGGAAGGAAGTCCACTTCTCAAAATTCATGGAAAAGTTCATTAAGATTCAAGTACTAGCGGAGACTGAAACATTGACTCTTTGTGAGTCGTTTTAAGTTGAGAAAAATATGAGAAAATAGTACCTTATAATAGAATCAATCAATAGCATTAAAAAAAAGTTATGACATATCCAGTACAGTGGGTATTGCATAGTTAACAGATGTAAAAATATTAAAAGAGTAAGACTCAAATTTGATTTCTAGCAACTGCATTGGGAGACAACTATGTTAAACATTAGGTCCTTACAAGTACCAGGTGAATGTTCCACTCTTTACAACCAATCTACGAATAAAATTTAATACAGCTCCTCTCCATAACCGTTTGATCAGGTATAATCATGACAAATTTTGGTTTTGTCCCTCGCAAACCATGGTGATATCATCAAGTTGAATAATTCAATTTCCATTTAAGTTGTTGTAATCTTCTTCTCAAATTTCTTGGGAGCCTGAAAACTCCAAAATTCCATCTTTCTCTTCCAAAGATGCTTAAATTTTCTCCCTATGTGATACGTTCAAACTATTCTTCCGGTGATTTCCTTCCCTTTAATTAATTTTTTCCCTTTTAGGAAAAGAATCCCTTTTAACATTTTTTTCAAAGGTTACAATAGAATTGTGTTTCTCTTCCTAAAGTTTATATGTGAAATATACTCCCTCCGTTTCTTAAAACTCTTCCTCTTTCATTTTTTTTGTTTTTCTTAAAACACTTTCCCTTTCCATTAAAAAACCACTTTTACCCCTACTTTTTCATACTCTACCTATTACATCATACTTTTTCACTAACAACTAAACTATCAATCTTACTTTTACTCATCACATCAAGGGCAAAATTGGAAAGTCAACTACAATTTAACACTTCCTTATTTTCCTCCAAAGTCAAAAGAGGAACTCTTTTGAGAAACGGAGGTAGTATGTATTATGATCTTATTAGCAAATATTTTTTCTTTTGTAAAAAGTATTCGGTATAACTCTTTCATAATGTTTATATTCAATATATAATGCCGAAAAAACTAGCAACACTTTCCTCACTACTCTATTCTCTCCCTCCGTATCCCCCCAATGCCTACACTTTCCCATTTTCCCATACCACTCTAATACTCTCTCCTTCCCTGAAAATCTTTCTCCTTTTTTTCATCTATGCCAAAAAACACTTTCAATTAAAAAGTCACTTTTATCCCATACTTTTTCATATCTTACATATCATATCATACCTTTTAACTAATAATCTACTCATCAAATCTTACTTTTACTCATCACATCAAAGGACATTTTTGAAAATTCAATACCAAAATTATACACTCCTCTTAAATCTCTTTAAAATCAAAACATCCCATATTTAAAGGGACGGAGGGAGTAGTTTCCAATATTGCTTTGTTTAATACTAATAACATTTTTAATTAGCATTATTATTTTAGATAACTTTTTAATACATTATTGTTAGACACTAATACTAATAGTACTTCTTGTAGTATTGGTTATGGTAGTGTTTCATTATTAGTCAGCTTCTTAATCCTATTTGTGGTAGATGTTGTATGTTAGTTAGTTTCCATTCTATTATAGATTGATTTTGGATACAGTATTAGGGGCATTTGTTAAAGTGCATGCACCTAGACGAACATAGAAATTTAAGGGAAAATAAACCCTATGGGATCTCCAACAACTTCGTAAACATACAAAAAATGCCCCCGGGAATTCCACAACTGTTTTCACAAACACGCACTTTCTCTCCAATATTTTTACGTCCATTTTCACAAGGCCAAATACACACACTTTCTTATAACCTATATATTGAAGTGTCCGTGCTATATATATGACCCTGAATTTTCACAACACAAATTTAATATATAAACTTCAAGTGATAGTTATTTAGATTGCGGTGAAAAATAAAAGATGGCGGCAAAACAAAGGTCGTCCGTCGTGATCATGCTCTACTTGGTGCTGTGCGGCGGCGCATCAGGGCGGCGGGCCACCACCACGCGGGACTGCATGCGGCAAATGAGCGAGCCGAAGCTGGTGGCGCAGGACGCCATCGCGATGGGCATCGACGAAGTCAAGTCGGTCAAGGGTTTCGTCGGCCGGCTGGTGAGCCTCAAGAGCCTCCAGTTCCGGGAGAACGCGGCTGAGCTCCACACCTGCGCGGAGGGCGTGGCCGGCCACCTGAACGACCTCAACGGCAGCCTCAGCCGCCTGCGCAGGTCGCCGTCGATGACCGTGGCGTACTCCCGGCCGCTGAAGTTCGCGCTCAGCAGAGCCGTCGCTTCCGCCGACGACTGCCGCACCGCCATCGGCCACGTGGACGCGGCTTTCGCGGACATGCTGATGAGGAAGCTGAATGACCTGGCGTTGATCCTTGACGACGTCGAACACCGTGTCTCCAAGTTGAATGCCGCCATACATAATTGAAGATATAATAATATGTCCCCTCAAAAAAAGGGTTTCTATGTCTCATTGTTGAGGTTACACTTACGGGTCGTATGCTACGTACCTTTGTACAATTAATAAAATAAAACAAATGAAATAATCAAGGTCTCTTCGGTCCACAAATAAATACTTCTTTCATCAAATCTCTCTCCTTCATCTCATAAATTTCTTTTCCTTTCTTTTTTCGTGTCTCACAAAATTCTTCGTTCTTTTATTAAAAAACCAGTTTTACCTAACACAACCTATTTTTAGTCATCTCATCAAGAGTATTTTTGAAAAATCAACACAAAAATATTTCTCTCCTAATTTTTCTAAAAATCAAAATTGGAAGAACTTCAAGGGACGGAGGGAATAGAACATTTGTCAATTTTTATCTTTTAATCATATCCACATAATTATTTACAAAAAAAAGCATTCAAAAAATGAAATAGACAATTAGATTGAGCAGTGCTTAAAAGATGACGAATACAATCAACCACGTAATAGGACAATTACATTCACACGTACGTACGGATGCAAGTTTTAGAACATGGTGGCGCCAAGAACACATATTTGGTTAGGTAGTTCAGTTCAATTCAAATCAATGATTTTTGAGCGAAAAACAATCGAAAATGGCAATTCAATTCATGCTTCCTTCTTCTTCTTCTTCTTCTCTTAAATGAGAATCCGAAATAGCATTATTATTATAATTATTATAATGAAAAGAAAGGGGAAATTGGGAATCATCGAGAAGCAGGGCTGGTCTTGAGATTGAGGCGGCGGCGGCTTCTCCCGGGGCAAACCAGGTGGATCCCGGGATCATGGTGACTGTAGGTGGCGTTATGGAGGATTGAATTGTTCACTCCTTGCACGTTGCTGTTCACCACCGCCCTCATCGCCGCCCACACCCCCAGCTCCTTGTGTTTTCCTTCTTCCTCCTCCTCCTCCTCCTCGCCTCCTTCTTCCACTAGCTTCCGTGGCCGGCCATTGTTACCGATCCCCTGTTTCTTTCCGGCCGGACTGGTCATCAGGTCCATCACGGCGCCTCTGTTTTCCCCTGCCAGTGTTACAAAGCTCACTCCTTTTTCCTTCTTTACTTCCTTATTATTGTTGTAGTTATTCTTGGCTGCCAGGTTCTGGACTCTGTGCCGTCCTCCCGCCGGCTGGCCTTCCAGCAGCACCACTTTCTTATGATCATAATGTTCCCGCTCGAAGTTGGACATTTCCGGGTAAGCTTGTTTCGGGAGTTTGAGTGGGGACACCGGCTTCATCCGGTGATGATTAGCTTCTCCCAGAGGAGGAGAATGGAACCTAACCAACGGAGAACGCAGGGGCTCGGACAAACTCTCTGGTGACGATGGAACTTGGGACGCCGTGGGATTAACTGACACAGGAGACCGGTGACCGGAAGCTAAGACAGGGGAATGTGTTTCAGCGAGAGAACCGTTGGGACGCGGCGGCGATGAGGGTGCCAGTCGCGGAGGAGCTGCAACAAGAGACTTTGTCGGAGTGCCGGGAACGGGAGAACGTATGGGGCTGGTGGTGGCAGCAAGATCAGTGGGACGTGGCGGTGATGGAGCTAATTGAATGACAGATTTTTGTTGTTCCGGCTGTGAAGGTGCCGTGGGAGAACGTTGACCAGAAGTCAAAAGAGGTGAACCCGTGGTGTTGGTAGGATCAGCGGCCGGACGTGACGGCACTGGAGATAAAGGTGGAGAGACAGGTTGGCGCTGGGAGAGTGTTGTCGACGGTGATGAAGGTGCCAAAGGAGAACGCTGACCTGAAGTCAAACCAGTTGAATCTTCTCTGGGAGCAATGGGCTTTGGCGACAATGGGGGCGGTGGCCTTGTGGCAGGAGGAGGCGGTGGCGGTGGTGAAGGTGGTGCTTGTGGTGCCGATTGAGAGGGTGGCAGTGGGGTCGGTTCTCGCTGCCGAGGCGGCAGAACGGGGGGAGCAGGGGGAGGCGGCTGAGCCTGCGGCTGTGGCGCCACCGGACGCTGTTGGGATTGGCGGAATATGGAACTGTAGCGCAAAATTGAACGTTGCGGTGGGTTTGACATTTTTTACTGTGTTACTTGTAAAAATCTAACAAGGTACGGAGTAAAATTGAAAACCTTAAGAAACAATGCAAAGTACTCCTAGAACCAAAGCCAACACAAATTTATAGTGGGAAAAAGGTGAGGTTCTTGTGATGCCTGCCAGCCTAGAATGCAGCGACATTAAACTAAGGGATGTGAAGAAAAGCATCAAATGCTAAACCAATGTGACAAAGACAGGTATCGGATTCACCTGTCACAATTCCCAAACACAACCCAGTTGTAGTCTCTAATAAGAAATACAGTATATGATGATTGGGTCATCTGTATTCGATCCAAACCGAGGGAGTAATTCAAAGATCAAACGATTGAAACATGAAACGACACAGCATGGAAAAAACATTTGTTGTGTCTGCTGTGACAATTTTCAACAGGCAGACAGATTTGCACAAAATTGAGTGTTCAAAAAAATTGTTTGTTCCTTGCCTTCCCACAGTGAATCTAAAACTAATGTTGTGCATCTTACACATTTCGCAAAAGAGGTTTATGTAGATCAAACAAAAGGCTCTCGTACCGATGTTGGCAAGTTCAGTTCTGATTCAAACTCGGGTAGGGGAGCGAAGAAGCTGTCGACCATGTCCTTTGTAACATCCTCAAGTCTCAGAGGGTCCCACTGAAAATTTATCCCGAAAAAAAATTATATTAAATCAGACTATTTTCAACATAGCCATTTTTATGTACTGAAGATGGATCACTCAACATTTCAATACCTTTGGAGCAAAATCCTTGTCAATCAGTCTTGCACGAACGCCCTGCGTAAGAGAGGGGTAAAAGTATTCAACCAAACAAAGCTTATTTGGAAAGTTTCCTACAAAAAATACTTCCATAAAATCTAGCTAGCTAGCTTATGGAGGCCCAAACATAGCAATACTGGTTATCGTGTCTGCCGTCTCAAGTCTCAGAGGGTGGGTGTGATTAGTTTTTTTTTCGAAAAGTGATTATATTGACAACAGAACCTAAAGCCTCTCAGAGGTGCTTAACTTCTGCTTTTTGTCTCTTGAAAATGATGAGAATCAGACACTCCCAAACACTTCAAACTGCTTCTATCAAGAGTAGAAGCCGAGAATTATTTTCAAAATCAATCCAAAACACCCTCTAAAATCTAACCTTGAGTTGCAGTTTAAAGAGCACGACCAAGTACACTTGGCAACACTTTTAGAGTTTTAAGAACCAGAGAAAGAATTACCTCACAGAAATTGCCAGATGCGTGCTTTGAAATCCAGTTCAGGCTTACACGATATTCAGTAGCCAGGCACTGGTCAAGTGGCTGAAATCTCCCTTCCCTAATCTAATGTGGCAGCAAAGGCTTATATATTTTGTGAATCTTGAAAATATTCCAATAAAAGAGCTAACGTAAAAAACAGCTTACTGAATTCAAAGTGACTTTCAAGCTTAATGGAGAGGCTGCTTTTATCTTTTTAAGAGTTGACGTGCACCATCCATCATAAGACTCAGCTGCCTCGTTCTCCTGAATAAACCATTTTTGCACAATTTCTATTTCTCACTAAATGAAATGGGGGTGTAAATCAAGAGCAAAATATCTCAGAAGGCAAACAAATAATTAATTATCTTCTTAAAAATTAAAAATATCTCTCTACTTTCACTATGGTGGATTGGTCACGTAAGGAGGAGAAGTGCAGAGACTCAAAGTGCAAAGAGAGCAAGAGGCTAGCGGTAGTGGGCGCGAGAGGGGATAGAGGTAGACCTAGGAAGAATTGGAAAGAGAAGATTAGACAGAACCTATGACTCCAGGATCTTAACGAGAATATGGCCTTAAATAGAAACGTATGGAGATCTAGGATTAGAGTGCCTGGGTGACCTCTAGGCTTTAGTTGGTAGTTTATGATAGTGTTTTTTGCCTTAGTCCGTAGCTTGCGCATGTTTACCTTCTGTGCTCTGGAACATGTTGCTAGTGTCAGCATGTGTGTGTCTTGTGTCTGTGCTCTTGCTTAGATCGTGTTAATGAGTTTACTTTCTCCTGGTTGGGCCGGGGGTCCCCAAGAAACAATCTCTCTATTGTCAAGTAGTTGTAAGGTCTACGTACAAACACTCTTCTCCAGGGCCCTTACTTTTTTGTGGGATTTTATTGGGTTTGTTGTTGTTCTCTAGTACAGGATAATGACAGGCTTACCAAAGCTTCAATAATTTCCTCAATTGTGTCTGGACTGAAGCACTTATCGATCATTTCAAACCTAAAATAAGCATAGACTTTAGAGATGAGACAAGAATTAGAACAATTTCACTTAATAAGTATACTAAAAGGTGGTAGAGAAATAAACGGCCAGCTACTGTGCAAAATCAAGTCATGATATGGAATGATAATTTTGTAAGCAAGTGCAACAGGAAAGTAACTGTAGTAGAATAAAACTTTAAGGGTTCGTTTGGAACTTGGAAAAATTGGACATATGTAAATTTCTGAAAACAGCCATATTTCAATTTCTTTGGACTAGAAAATGAGTTTCATTAGCATTTTTCTTAACCATGGTATTTTTTTGGAATCCAAACATACTCCAATGAGAGTATCTTATTACAAGGGGAGGGGAAGGGAGGGAGGTGAAGAGAGCATTACTTGTGAAGCACGCTTTGCGTATCTGGATAAATAAGGTCACCATACTGAGCAAGAGAGCTTTCAATAACAGAAGGATCATCTGTCGTCAATTTACCAAGTCTTTCTTCAATCCAGGGAAGCCTCTGTTAGATGGAATATGAGTAGCAAAATGTTATGAACAGATTGAACTTCAGGAATATGCACTACAGAGTTTGATACTAACTTCTTTTAAAAGATAGTGTGTTGCAAGACCACATGCAATCATTTCCACACCGTTAAGTTTTTCTCCTGTTAAAGCTAAATATTCACCTGCAAATGCAGAAGAAGGTGATGGCACCTGGAATTATATATCAATACACATGTAATGAAGAAACAATCACATTAATGCTTTATTTTTCACTTTAACATACTGGAAGGGGATTACAGCACAGGAAGCACAATGGAATATAGGCTGCATTTGGAAAACGGTCGATCGGCCAAAAATCAGCCTCATGACCAAGAATGGCTGATTGGACTGCATAAACGGCTAACATTCCTGTTTGGAAAATGGAGTTTCAGGCTGGCGGTTGGTTTCCTAAAAGCCAAGAATGGAAATGCTGAGGTTGGTGGCGTTTTGGTTCAGCTAGTCAAATTATTCCTTTTATGCCATTTATATTCTTCAAAATATATCTATGGCAACTCCTTTGCTGGACAAAAAAAGATATAAAAAAGGAAAGGTGTAGAGTTTGTACTTTCGACTTTTTTACACGAGAGATTGATTAAGAGGGAATTATTTTGGTTTGGTTGTTGAACGAAAATAAAGTATTTTTACCATTTTGTACTTGTACAAAAATATTTTGAATACATAAAAACAATTATTGATTGTATATGTATTTAAATAAAAATTTAAATAAATACTATGTCTATAAATTACGGAGTATGTTATATTATACTCCGTATAAATAATACTTTACTTTGTATATTTTAAAAATATATTATATAAATTATGGAGGAACAATTAGGAATTCCTCCGTATATCCTTAAATGTAATTTCATCTGCAACAGCTACTTATGAAAAGCTAAGTTTGCAAAGCATTTTTTCATGAACAACTAATAAAAAAGCTAACTCAACCAGTCATCCAAATCAGCCAACATAAGCACCCAAAAGCCAACCACCAATTACCAAACAAGGCTATAAACCTACATGAAAATGTGACAAATTGTTCTCATACATGAGAAACTGCCATGAGCCAATAAATTGATAAATATCTTGCTTTATATTTATACTCTATAATATACTCTATAATAATGTATCAATATGGCTCTGTAGATTACTGATTCAGTAAGTCTGATATGGAAGGTTAATCGTTTCCTAATAATACCTAAGTAGCCAGGAAGACGAGGAAGATAATATGATGCCCCTCCATCAGGATGAAACCCTATTTGAGCTTCTGGAGAAGAATAAACCTGCAAATTTGTCAAACGTTTCTACTGTGACATTTTTTCTCTTGCTTTTTTTTATTTTTGGTATAAGTGTAGACATTATCAAGCCCTAATTTGAATCATCATATCCATGAATAGATATATTGAGCACTAGACGAAAAAAGTTAGTTGCGAGAATCTCGTCGTCCATCTTGAACATGTTCATTCGATTAACAAATGACTTATTTTTGAAGAACAGCGATTATGATTATGGCTAGGTGGCAACATTAGAAATTCACGCAACATAATGCATAGGTCCAAAGAAAATGGAATCAAAGAAAATATAAAGTAAAACACTACTCAACTTAATCCCTACTTCATTGGGGTCTGAGAGGTCAAGATTACATAATCTTGCCCCTTTAAAAACAGAGAGGTTGTTTCCGTTAGACTCTTGATGCATTGTTGCATTTACAACCCAAAAACTCCTAAATAATACTAACGAGCAACGAAAGTTTAATGTACCATTTTGATTTAGTCCATATTTACCCAAAGCTAAAATGTTGAAAAATAATTACTCTTTTGCTCCATTGGCTATGGACAGAGTGATTTATATCTTAAACTGAAGAAGTAGCAGATTTTAAAACATATATACTCCATAGTACAATGCAAAGTTAAGGGGTGTAGCAAATTTTGGCATAGATAAATACTACTCCCTTCACCCCACAATAATTTTCCACTTTACTATTCACATGATCAAACTATATTTACTTTCTTTACCTGTTTTCATTGATCATTTGATAAATTAAAATAGTCTTGTTACCACTTGATTTGTAGAACTTTTGAAGTAATTTTTAAATATATATGTTTTATTTATTAATTCTACACCAATCATTATATAGATTGAATTCTAAATAACTTTGGTCAAACATTGTAATCCCAAACTCGAACATTATAATGGGACGGAGGGAGTACTTCGTATTAGTCTGATACACAACTAACTTGAGCATGGAAAGAACAAAATAGTTTTTTTAAACAGATCTAGGAAATGTTTACCCTAGAATACTCAATATATCTCACACCAAGAAAATCTGCTATCATTGTATGGATCGAGGAAGTGGTTACATACAGTTCTATCAGTTGCAATGCGGAACATTCCCGGAAATGCAATACCCGCCCCACTTCCCATTGTAATACCGTCTAAAATAGCAACCTGTACAAATGACGCACAGAAAGATGAAATAGAGAAATATAAATATCCAACTCAACACTCCTTGAGCAGTAGGAATATCATTATTTAAACAAATCAAATTAATTTTCAATAGATATTTTGTCCAGGAAGTCATTGAATTTTAACAGAACTCACATGTGGTTTTAGATAGGTTCCTAGCAGGTAGATAAAATTATAAAGTGACTGGAAGAAAATTTTGCATTCCTCAAGTTTTCCTGCAGAGAGAATCATTGTTACATCGACGGAAGGAGGATGGGTAAAAAAGCATTTTTAGTGCACCAATTGTTTGTATTTATCCAGTTTAGTCCCAATTTTATAGACTTGTGGCAGATAAATATCACCCCCAACCCAAGAGAGTAATTAGAACGCATGTGTTTTACACAAGTGAGATGAAAAGCTATTACTCCATAGCTTTACATAACTATTGAAATCATCAAATATATCTATATTTTTTTAATTTATGTGTTGGTTCAACTAATGTAACACACTCAACTTGTTTGGAACACTGTTATAAAGGACATTAAATATGAAGAAAATGATCATCTTTATTTTTAAATTGGACCCTTCTTTGGGAACAAAATTAAGTTTAGAAACGTGGCTTTTAATGGGATGGAGGGAGTATTTTTTTCAGCAGCCTTCGTCACAAAGAACTCATCTGACTAGTGACTAAAGTCCACAATTGAACGATTTGAAATAATTTGTATTAAAAAAGATCAATCATTTAAAAAATTATGTCTAAATAATTTAGATTAACATTTGACAATGAACTAATGAATGACCAAAAAAGATTAACACGAATAAGTGAGGCATCAAAGATGATTTCCCGCCTAAAATCCTCTTTGGGTTTTAGTTAAACAACAAAGAGCCACAATGACAGAACAGAGTTGAAATTGAATAAATTGCAAATTAAAAAGATAAAGTGGCAAAGATTTTTCTAATTAATTCTTCTTCTTAATAGTAGGTGTTTAGGAGCATCTACAGTATATCTACATTGTGAGTATCATAAAAAAGGCTCCTATTTAAGGCAAAGACAGTATATAGGTACAAAATAGAGGAAACTACAGCAGGAAAACTTGAAGATTCTTTAAACAAATGCAGAAGCGAGAAAAATGTCACTGAGATCAGAAACATAAAGTAGATAAAACAACCTTCATTAATCAACTGATGAAGCATAACAACGTCAGCTCCAGAACAGAAAGCAAGATTATTTCCCTGCTCCAAATCCAGGTAAAAACATAAGGGCATAGCCAGCTTTCCCAATCACAATCGTCAAGTTACATTTAAGACCAAAAAACTAATGTAGTAAAGCTCACTAGAAAGGAACCGATTACAAATGATACCTTCATCAAAACAAATCCAATTTCCGAGTTCTCCTCCCACGAGTTGTACAATCTATTCAACCGAGACACCTTAAATCCACGAAAAAGACACCACTTTAAGTTCACTTGCAATGTAACAGCATTACTGCAAAAAGAGATTGCGTATCGTGTATTGAACCATAGAGCTAGTGAGAGAATTGAGGGAAGATGGTCTATTGAGTACTGCTGCTCTTGATTTTGCTCTCCCTTCAACTAAAACCTAAACCAAAAAATAGTACTGATTTTTCAGCAATTCAATACATATGCAGTGATTTATTTATTCTTTCAAAAACAAGAAAACGAAATCGAAAGTTTACTTTCATCATAAAATGTAAAATTAAGAAAAAAAAACGAAATTGGAAGAGGAGGACCTGATCTTGGAGATCATCGAGCTGGATGTAGTTGGGAAGAGCAGAGAAGCTCCTACTTAGGCGGGAATCGAGAAATCCATGGCTAATCTTAGAACGGCGAGTGAGTGACTGTAGAATTCTCAACCCTGGCATTATCTCTTATCCCTTTCGTGCCGGAGGCGAGATGCGGGTACTGAGTTTCAATGGCGGACTGTCCCTCCCAAATTTCCCTCGACCCCTCTGCCAAACATTGGAAGAGGCAAATTTACTCATTTTTTATAAATGATAAGTCTAAAATGACACCAGTACTACTTGTTTCATTTGCTTACACCAGTGTACTGCCAGAGTAGGGAGGGGGACGGGAGTGGGGGGCAAGAGTGGGGCTGGGGTGGGGGTTTAGGGGGAGGATTAGGGGTGTAGGAACCGTCGTTTTTACAAACGGAGCACCGTAGGTATCCAAACGAACTGATGTAAGCAACTGGTGTATAAGTAACTGGTATCATTTTAGACGCTCAAAAGTTTAAGACGACTCGGTGTGTGCCTCTATAGTTTAAATATTTGAAAAACTAGTTCCTAAAAAATGAAAATGTGATACTCCCTTTCTTCATGAATAAATTTTTCAAGTAGATTTTTTTACACATTTTAAATAGAGTTGAAAAATGTGTAGCAAAAATCCATGGTTGGGAGAATAAGATTCTATTTGGTGCCATCAAGAAAATCATTGTTAAAATATTAATTCGGACTATTACAAGCTCTCTGTTATGGTGATGTTATTTCAGTTCTCGGTTGGTATGTGTGATAATATCGAGACAGCTATTAATCAATTTTGGTGGAAGTCAGGAATACAAGCGGGCGAGGCATTAGATGGATGTCGTAACAACGGCTAATACTTTATTCTTTTGGTTTGGAAATTCAGAAAGTAGAAACTTAGAGAAGCGAAAAGAAGTTAGAAAATATTGAAAAAATAATGTGTTCAATACTGATTTTCTTTATAAAAAACTGATGTGTTTTTACTTGCTGATTTTTCTCAAAATCTGCCGTACTAGCCCTTTTTGCATGCTGTTTTTGCCTCTTAGAATGCTCCTTCGCTAGAAATATGCACTATCATTGATATAGCTATCTTAAGGACAATTTTTAGATGCAATACATGATGTCCAAGGTCAAATTTGTGAGGTTAAAGTGCAGCTTTTTCTGAAAAAAACTGATCTAAAGTTGCTGTTTTTTCAAAAAAAACTGCAGTGTTTTTTTCCTTTTTATGCTGATTCTTAAGTTCCTAAGATGCTTTAATACTGAAATTTGAACTCTATTGGCTTAAATACAAGCATAGGAACTAATTTGGATGTACACATGATGTTTTGTGACTTGTTTTCTAATCAATATACGCTGATATATGTTCTGAAAATGTAAAAATGGTTAAAAATCTGATTCTGGAGTTTGATTTTTGAGCTTAATTTTTCACAAAGAATCTGATTTTTTTTCTTTATTTAAGAATTTAAGTGCTTCTCTTGGTATAAAATTGTCTTGTTTCCTTTCTTTAAAGTGTTTTAAAGAAACATTGATACTGCATTGTTTTCCACTTTTGCAGCTTGTGTTTATGCGATTAAGAAGTGGTATAGTAATTGGAGAAGAAAGTGAAAGTGAAACAGGTAGTAATAGCGACCAGGTAAGTGAGGCTGAACCTTCTTTTAATTTAGATAAACTTGTGGAACTGTTTGGGTCTGCTCTTACCATATCTGAAATTACACCTGTGAGTGTATGCGTGCAAAACATAAGTGAATCTGATTTTAAAGAATCAACTTTTGATAATCAAGCTAGTTCTAGGAAGGCAGCCCCTAACCGTACTCTTAGAGAATTAGCTGCACCTGACCTGACCATTCAACCTATTTCCATTACTTATGGTGAGTTGGAAAAACCCCTTAAACTTAGTTCTGGATTTATCAATTTACTTCCTAAGTTTCATAGTCTTCCTGGAGAGGATCCTTTTAGGCATATATCTGAATTTATGATCACTTGTGGTGCAATGGTGCCGGAAGGAGTCTTTCCAGACCAAATCAGACTTAGAGCCTTTCCTTTTTCCCTTTCCGATAAGGCCAAAGATTGGCTTTACTATATGCCAGCTGAATCTTTCACAATGTGGAACGACCTTCATAAAGCTTTTCTTGAAAAAAAATTTCAGCATCCAGGATTGGGTCGATTAGGAAAGAGATTTGTGGGGTTAAACAGTTGAATGGGGAGAACTTTTCTGAATACTGGGAGCGTTTTAATAAGCTTGTTTGTTCTTGTCCTCAACATCAAATAACCGAGCAGTTGTTAATTCAGTATTTTTATGAAGGACTTTTGCCTACCGAGAGAGGCATTGTTGATGCCGCTAGCGGTGGTGCATTAGTGAACAAAACCCCCGCTCAAGCGAGGTAGCTTTTTAATACCATTGCTCAAAATACCCAACAATTTGGAACTCGAGATACTGTCGTGAGGCCGGTTAGCGAGATAGGTAATTCGTCTTCTTTAGAATATAAGCTTTTTGCCTTAATTGATGCTATTTCAAAACTTGTTGTGGGTAATGTAGGGGGTAGTAAGGGTAAACCTTGTGGAGTGTGTTGCTTGGAAGGACATCCTACTGATGCGTGTCCAACACTCCAAAATCCTGAAGTTAATGCTTTGTTTTTCAATTATAACAACCAAAAGAAGTATGATCCTTTTTCTAACACTTATAACGAGGGTTGAAGAGATCATCCAAATCTGCGTTATGGTCTTCCCAGGGGTAATAATCTAAATTTTTCTAATAATCCACCTCCCCAACAAGATAGGACAACCCAAATGTTAGAACAAGTGCTTAAAAAGATGGATGATAAATTTACTTCGGTTGACATCAGTCTTAAGCAACTTCAAGAAAGACAAACAGCCTCTGAAACTTTGATTAGTAATATGCAAGCTCAAATGAACAATAGGCTGCCTTCTCAACCCTTTCCAAACCCTAAAGAGAACCTTAATGCTATTGAGTTAAGGAATAAAAAGGTACTCAAAGAACCTAAAAGCATTAGGGAAGAGGAAAAAGAATTAGAAGTTGAACTTAGAAAACAAAACCGCCCTTAGAACCTGCAATTCAGCTTCTGGACGCTGAAGACCAGCCTTTAGAACCTGCAACCAGCATCTTAAATGAGGATAATGAGGCTGAGAAATTTGAGGAAAAAGGAAAAATTGACCATAGGGATAGGAATCCAGCCCTACCACACTCTAAGGCACCTTTTCCTAGCAAATTCCTTCAACCTAGAAAGCCTAAGGAAATTGTCTTGCACTTCTTGATACTTTTAAGAAGGTAGAGATTAATTTACCTCTCTTAGAAGCTATTAAGCAAGTCCCTAAATATGCTAAGTTCCTCAAGGAGCTTTGCACCAACAAGAATAGGCTAACGGGGAATGAACGAGTAAGAATGGGCGAGAATGTTTCTGCAGTTTTTCAAAAGAAAATTCCTCCAAAATGTAAGGATGCTGGTGTTTTTACCATTCCTTGTCTTATTGGTAATTTGCACTTTGATAGAGCCATGTTGGATTTAGGATCTTCTATTAATGTAATGCCCAAAGACATTTTTGATAAGCTTAATATTGGGGAATTGAAACCGAAAGGGGTAGTGATCCAGTTAGCCGATAAGAGTTATACTTATCCCGAGGGTCTTCTTGAAGATATCTTGGTGAAAGTCAATGACTTAGTATTTCCCGCTGATTTTTATGTGTTGAGCATGGGTACTGATACATCTGACATACCCATTCTTCTTAGCAGACCTTTCATGAAAACTGCTAGAGCTAAGATTGATGTTTATGATGGGGTTTTGTCACTGGAATTTGATGGTGAAAAGATTGAATTTAACTTAAGAGAAGAGGTGATATTTATTGTTTTATAATTTACACAATTTTTTAAAAAAATATTTAAATAAGTTAATAGTTTTGTGATATGAAGTATATATTAGAATCAATTACTTCAATATTTTAGACACGCGCACTTCTTCATTTATAAATCACTAAAAAAGTAATTAATAACATTTGACTAAAATTATATTAATACACTTAAGTTATTTTACTAAGTTAAAAAATAAAATTTGCGTATTTAAAAAACAATATTAAAAATTTTATAAGTGTAGACTTAATTTTATTTTTTTCAAATAAGTTGTCTAATATTTAAAAACACTCAAATGAAATATTTGCATGATATGCATCTTGTAATACTATCAATTGTATCAATTATATTTTTAAAAATAAAAAGAAATCTTTACACAATCTTTTTTTAATGATGAGATATTAAAAAAGTTTAAGTGAAATTGTAACAAAAATCATCATAGCTTAGATGGTAGGAACTTAACTATAAATGTCTAAAAGATCTCGAGTTCAAATCCCCACGGTGTATGTTTTTAGGGAAAAAATGCAAAAATTCGCAAAAAAAAATGGCCGGACCGGTTCGCATCGGTTCAATGCAGGTAACGGTCCGAAGGGTTGGACCACCGGTTCGCCGGTTCACGGTCCGAACTAGTCGGTCCGGTTTTTAAAACTATGGGTAAGGTTGTTGTTAGAGATAAACGAAGGAAACGAGATTGAAGAAGGAAAGTGTAAGAGAAAGAAGAAGGAAGCAGGATTGAAGAAGGAAACCGAATCCCTTTGGGATTAGGTTTAATATCTTTCCTAGGATTAGGTTTAGTATTTAGTATCTTTCCTAGTTTGTTTAAATTTTTATTTTAGTAGGAATAGAAATTTCCTTGTTTACTTTACCCTCTTCCTATATAAAGAGGGTTATATCTTTGTATTCAAAACAAGTTTCACAAGCCAATTCAATATACATAGAATTTCCTCCCAAATAATGCCGCATCCAGCTCCATTGTAGCATTGCTTTTGTCTAGGGGAAGGACATCACACTTAATTCAAGATTCTTAATCCAAGATGGAAAGAATAATCTAAGATGAATAGATTTACTTTTGATGCATTAGATTGCACAATGAGAGATGTAGTGAAGTTCCCTAATAATAACTCCATAAATGAACCATTTGGAGGAAAAATAGTTGTACGTGTAGGTAATTTTATCTAAATTATTTCAGTTTTACTTGAAGCTTTGAAAGAGGAAATTATAGGTGCTACCGCCAATTCCTAAAAAATGTGGTTGTAATGTAAAGTTTATACAGTAACCAAAAATATGAGATTGCATTCTTCTACATACTTTTGCACAGATAGGAACACACAAGTTTTTCGTGATTAGATAATCAAAGTTAGAAATGGAAATCTTGGACAAGTGATTGAAGGAGTTGGTTACTGACGTGAAATCTCACCCGAATTCTTGATTCTTAACACAAGTTATTGCTCAAGAATATAGTGAACTTCACTTATACGAATATATTGGAGAACATAAAAAACTATTCCTTTTTTGAAGATAGTGCACTATTGGCATCTATTCTCAAGGTTGTTGAATGGTAAATGAATTTGTCTTTTTCCTTATTTTAGAAAGTGAAAAGTAGTTTTTAAGTTCTTATTTTTCATGCTATCAAGTTTGTTATTTAAAAAGGCATATTTGAGTATATTTTCAATTTCTCAAATATTATTTATTCTACCTTGGTGTTTTTGTCTAATGATAAAAAATCGAATTAGAAATATATTTACTTGATCCAGAAAATATATTGCATTAAAAAAATTCAGAATCGACAAAAATTTGGTCAACCACGTGCATCGCACGGGTAAAAATACTACTCCGTTGTAATTTAAAGATAAGGAATTCTTATCTCACACCAAAAAAAAAGGGAAGCCTACCCACGTATATTTTAGAGGGTGAAGGGGGTAAATTTTTATTGAAAAAAACTACTCCGTATATTGACCCCATTTTAACCTTATATTTTACTTACAAACAGTAATCATGATTTGGTATATGTAATGTCTACGAGGACAATTGATGTAAAAAGTAAAAGCAATGATAGGGGTACACCAAAGTATACTCCATTTGTCTCTCATCTTTTTTCTCCACTATTTAATTTTATTTTATTTTTATTTATTTAAATTTTTTTAGTCTCTTGCGTCTTTGTGTGGTTATGCAAGGGGTGGGGGACAAATGGAATACACCACCCCTAGCATTTTTTAAAAGGTAAAGTTAAAATGGTTAATTATAGCATGATTCATTAAAAAGTAAACAGGTTTACAAAAGAAAGGTAATACTACTCGGTACAAAATAAGATTCTCCATCCCCTCAATTTACGGAGTATAGGTATAGGGCGTGGGAACCAAGTAGAGGTCGTCCTTCTTTCCGGCAGCAATTCCGGGCAATTCAGTCAAGTCTATGCTACGTGCATACTCAGGCTCCCGAGGGAGGTTCCAGTCGAAATGGTAAAGCAAGTTGGCTAAAGGGAGATAGACATTAGCCAACCCGAATGAGAGTCCGGGGCATATCCTCCTCCCGCCCCCGAACGGCAAGAACTCGAAGTTACTCCCCATGAAGTCGACCCCCCGGCTGCTCTCATCAAACCTCTCCGGCACGAAGCTCTCCGGGTCCTCCCAGTACGCCGGATCCCGGCTTATTGCCTGTGCATTCACCATGACCCACGCCTTTGCCGGGATCGTGTACCCCTCGACCTCCGTCTCCTCCATGCACTCCCGCGGGATTGAGAGAGGGGACGGAGGGTGGAGGCGGAGGGTTTCCTTCACCACCAGTTTCATGTACTTGAGCTCTTCCACGTCGAATTCCCTGCCCGCTCCCCTCACCTCGTCCTGCGCCTTGGCAAACACCCTCGGGCTTCTCAACATTTCCACCATCGCCCACACGATCGTCATCGATGACGTCTCTGTTCCGGCGGTGAACAGGTCAAATACGATGGCCTTGATGTTTTCGTCCGTGATCGAGAACTGGATCCCGTCGTCGTCGGTGCACTTAAGTCTCAAGAGGACGTCGATCAGATCCTCCCTACCCATCTCTCCGTTCCACGACCTGCACTTGTGGCGGTGGATGACGCCGTTGAGAATGGCGTCCACCTCTCGGTGGATTTTCATTATCCTCCGCCGCATCGGGCTGAGACCGTGGAGGAACTTGAGAGAGGGGAATATGTCTGCCACGTCGAACCCTCCCAGTAAGATCAGCACATCCTTGATGTGGGTGATGAACTCGTCCCCCTGCTCCAAAATGCCCCCGAACGCCGACCGGCACGTCATCGCGCTCGTGAATCGGAAGACCATCTCCGTCAGATTCACCGGCCGGCCTTCTTGAGACCGTACGAGTTCCATCAGGCGGGACAACTCGTCCCGTCTGATGGAGCCAAATCCTTGAACGCTTTTGTTGCTGAGGAGTTCGAGGACGACGAACTTGCGCATCTGTCTCCAGTACTCTCCGTAGGGAGAGAAGAGGATGTCGGAGCTCTTGTAGAACAAGATCTCCGCGATCATCAGTTTTGGGCGGGAAGCGAAAGCCAAGTCGTGGGTCTTGAGCACGGCCCTGGCCATGTCGGGAGAAGATGCAATGATGGCAGAAACTTCCCCCAGCTGGACGTGCATGAGAGGCCCGTATGTTTTGGCCAGCTCCCTCAAGCGACGGAGCGGATATGTGCGGCCCACTAAATGATGTATGCTTCCGAAGATAGGCAGTCTCCAGGGCCCCGGCGGCAGCTTTCCACCTTTGGATCTTTTCCGGTGCTTGGTCATCACTACCAAGAGTACGAAGGAGATGAAGAGGAAGATGGTGGCCAGAGAAAGGGAGTCCATTTTAGAATTCTAGAATGACGGCGACCGAAATTGCACCTGGTGATATGTCTCGAATTCTAAAAGTAAATGAAAATTGCCTTGCCTTTATTCTCATAAATACTTCCCTCAACACTCCCAGTTCACGTACTATTCATAGCAATAAAATTAGGGAATTTCTCTGGTGCCTTTAATTGCTTTCATGTAAACTTTTTAGTCACATCATTTTAACTTTTAAAATTGCATAATGGCTCTGTCTTTTTATCCTTATTTAGTTTAACTCATCTATACATGCTAATGCCATTTAAAAATATTGTTTTTAAATTGAATCAATCATTCCGTTCTAAAAAAAGATTTTAATTTGATTTTTTAGGATCGAAATTAAAAACTTTGGCCATGAAATTTAAAAAACAATATGTTGAATAATAATATAAATTTAAACTACTCCCTCCGTCCCAAATTATTTGCAACGTTTACTTTTTCAGCAGTAGCGGGAACTTTTGTTTATTTCTACGTTTTCATTAATTATTTGATAAAATAAAATATTCTTGATATCTCTTATTTCGAAGAACTTTTTCATGTAGTTTTTTGATATGTAAATTTTATTTTTTATTTCTATAACAATATGTATATATAAAATGAATTGAAAAAACTTGATATTTTGCCTAGGGAATACAAATGTGGCAAATATTTAGGGACAAAGAGAGTATTTGATTTGTCTTTAAGTATAATTTTGAAATATCATATTTTGTTATAAAATTTATTAATTATATATATATATATATATATATATATATATATATATATATATATATATATGAAGTACTAAATTTCACTTTCATATAATTTATATAAAAATTAAGAGTACTCCCTCCGTCCGAAAATGTTCTTCACATTCGACTTTTATTAGTCAAATTTTGTAAACTTTGACTCTAATTTGTGGAAAATATAAATTTAAGAGTAAATTCCATAATTGGTCCTTTATAACACGGAGGTTTCCATATTTAGTCCTCTGTTATCATATATTACTCCCGTAGTCCTTTATTTAAGGGCGCCTTTCCACAAATGGTCCTTTTTTGATCTTCTGCCATGTCGGTGTTAATTTAAAGGCTAAAAGTATAATTTGACATCAACATTATGTCCAGTGACATGTTCTGATATTGGTTAAGCGGATAACACAAAAATAATGACTATGATTGTGGGCTAGAATTCAACGAAAAACCACATTTGTAGACTATGGTTGTAGTAGAAAGCGACTATAATTCACAAACGACTCAAACGGAACAGCCTTTAGAATTGTGTATGATAAAAAGATATATATTATCATTGTCAAATTACACTTTTAGCCCTTAAATTAACACCAACATGATAGAAGATAAAGGACTATTTGTGAAAAGATACTCATAAAAAAAGACCACTAGGATAGTATTTGATAATAGAGGACTAAATAGGGAAACCCCCCTGTTATAAAGGACTAATTATGGAATTTACTCTAAATTTAATATCAATATATTTCTAATGAATCATAATTTTGAAATATCAAAATTTTATAAAATATACCTATGTATAAATATAGTTATTAATAGTCAAAATGTAGCATTGGAAATCGTGACAAGTCAAATGAGAAGAAAATTTCCGGATAGAGGGAGTATATAAAGTTTTCATAATTTTTTTCTTTTGATTTTGACATCAGATTTATTTTGATTTTTCAATTTTTAAATTTTAATTTTTTTTACTTTTTACATATAATATTGAAATATCTTTCAAGAAAACTAATTTTAAAAAATTAGTTTTTCTAACAACCAAGTCCAAAAGATACTCTCTTTGGCTTTCCGAATTTTGACTTTTCAGATCAAACTGCCAAGTGAAAAAGCCATTATTCAAACACCGATTTTTGTTGTTCAATTAGTGAGATAACACTTTTTAAACTATTAGGTCTTCTATGTGACACTTTAACCATTAATATGCATGTATGTGTGTGTGTGTGTATATATATATAATTAATAAATTTTATAAAAAAAATATGATATTTCAAAATTATAATTAAAGACAAATCAAATAATTTAAATTTATATTATTATTCAACATATTGTTTTTTAAATTTCATGGTCAAAGTTTTTAATTTTGATCCTAAAAAATCGAACTAAAACTTTTTTTGGAACGGAATGATTGATTCAATTTAAAAACAATATTTTTAAATGACATTAGCATGTGTAGATGAGTTAAATTAAATAGGATAAAGAGATAGGGCCATTATGCAATTTTAAAAGTTAAAATGATGTGGCTAAAAAGTCCATATGGAAGCAATNAATTAGTGAGATAACACTTTTTAAACTATTAGGTCTTCTATGTGACACTTTAACCATTAATATGCATGTATGTGTGTGTGTGTGTATATATATATAATTAATAAATTTTATAAAAAAAATATGATATTTCAAAATTATAATTAAAGACAAATCAAATAATTTAAATTTATATTATTATTCAACATATTGTTTTTTAAATTTCATGGTCAAAGTTTTTAATTTTGATCCTAAAAAATCGAACTAAAACTTTTTTTGGAACGGAATGATTGATTCAATTTAAAAACAATATTTTTAAATGACATTAGCATGTGTAGATGAGTTAAATTAAATAGGATAAAGAGATAGGGCCATTATGCAATTTTAAAAGTTAAAATGATGTGGCTAAAAAGTCCATATGGAAGCAATTTAGTGGGAGGGCATCCATGCCCCTTCATTAGCAAAGGCACCGGAGAAATTCCCATAAAATTATTCACGGCTACATTTTCAGTTATCTCATTGTAAAACTTTTAATATACTCCCTCCCTCCTATAATGTTCTTCCCGGTTCTGTTTACGAAGTTTGACCGATTTTATTTTAATTCAATTTATTTGATTGTAGGTGTAAAATTAAAAAATAAAATTTATATATTTTAAAACTATATCAAAAGTTCTACAAAACAAGTGGTGACAAAATTATACGGAGTATTATTTTATCAAATACCTAATGAAAATAGGTAAAGAAAGTGATTAAAGTTTGACCGTGTAAATAGTAACTGGAAAAAACATTTCAGGACGAAGGGAGTAGTTTTTTAATTTGTAATTTTTATTTTTAAATTTTATATTAATTTTTATATAAAATGATTTAAAAATAACTTCAGTCAAATATCGTAGCGCGTAACAGAAAGTTTATTTGTGGATGAAGTGAGAAATGAGTTTTAAATAGGCTCCCTTCCTTTTTTACTATTCTCTTATTGATTATTTACCACAGAATACCTTTTGTTCATTTACTCATTACTAAAATATCCTTATATATTAGTTTAAAAAAACATATTCTTACATATAACTACTACTCCCTTCGCCACTAAAAACTTTTCCTATTTGAATATTTTTAGTCAAATAGTGATACAAAACTATATCTTAAGATAAACTCAATTATATTGAATTTATATTATAATTAGATATATTTTTCTCACAATATGTGGTCAAAAAGTGTCACGGTTTAGCTAAAAAAATTAAAACAAGAAATATTTTTAGGATCATAGCTAGGGAGTAGTATTTTAACGCGTGCATGCACGAGGTAGCTAGAATAAAATTATTTGTGATTTTACAATGTAAATTATTAAAATAATTTGACTTTTGTTTACATGGCATATCAAATAAACGTCAAATACAATGATCTACATTTAATGAGTTTTTATAAATCTAAAATCTTTCTTCCTGTATAAATTAAAAAAGAATAAACTTTCTAAATAGTTTTTTATAACGGGGAGTTTTCCATGCTCAATCCATATTTATCAAATATTATGATGTTGACAACCCTTATTAACAGGATACCATTCCACGTTTGGTGTTCCATCTATTTTTCTGTCTCTAAGCCGTTAGATAAAGACTAATATTTGATAAATATGAACTAAATATGAAAAATCTTACTCCCTCCGTCCCAAAAAGATCTTCCTGTTTCATTTTTTGCGCGTCCTATAAAATACTTCTATACACATCTAAAATGCCTAAAATTTACCACATTTCTCATTTATTGTAAGTAGAAGTTGTTTTGAAAGTTTTTTTTTGCATTTGAGGCGGGATAGAAGTGTTTTATGAGACGCGTAAAAAATGAAATAGGAAGATCTTTTTGGGACGGAGGGAGTAAGTTATAAAAAACTATATCGAGAATTTATTCTTTTTACACCACTTTTATTATAGAAATTAATAAATATTATAAGTGTATGATTGTACTTTTTATATTTGTCTTAGACTAAGAATAAGTTTAAAAGCTTTGTTATCAATATGAATTTCGTCTTAACATTATGAATATTGAATATCTGAATTGAATTTTATGTGCATGATATCAAATGATTTAATTATGAATTGAGATTCAATTTATGTGGATGTTCGATGCATTAGATATCCTTACTCAGCTTCACCGTTGAGCGTGTAGTATATTTTTATTTGCTTCACCGTTGAGCGTGTAGTATGTTTTTATTTCCAATCATATTTTCCGTTGTTTGGTAGGAATGAAAATATTTCCTAATCATATTTTCCATTGTTTGGTAGGAATGAAAATAATTATATTTTATGAATGTGGTTTAATTTGTTAGGCTTCCGCAATATTAAAAACTCCGTACTATTTTTGTTATGAATATTATTTTGTGGTGAATAAAAGTATTTGAAATGTTTTAAATTTTATAATTACCAAGTTAATACTTTAGTCCGGAAGGGGCTGCGGATCTAGACGGGCTAGTGTGTTATCGCTTATTTCTAATACTCCCTCCGTCCCAAAAAGATTTACACGTTTTGATTAAAGTTGAAATTAAGGGAGAGATAATTTTGTGTTGACTTTCCAAAAATACCCTTGAAGTGATGGGTAAAACTGTAAAAGTAAGATGTGATGTGTAGATTATTAGGAAAAAGGTATGATGTGATAGGTAGGGTTTTAAAAAGTAAGGGGTAAAAGTGGTTTTTTAATAGAAATGGGTAGGAGATTGTGAGACGCAATTTTTTTAAAAGGTGTAAATCTTTTTGGGACGGAGGAAGTATAAGAGTTCTATATTTTTATTTTCAAAATAAAAGTATGCATTGAGACTTTGTGGCACTGTATATTACATACTGTTTCACATTTTTTTTAGACATTATATGTTGATATTATTGATATTGTAACTTCTATTTTAATACTAAAAAACATGAAACTCCCATTGAGACCCAAGAGGATGCAAATTGGAAGCAACGCACCAAGCAACATTGGTTGCAAGGTACC